GAGATAAAATGCAGTTCCAAGTGTTCTGAACTTACAACTCTGCTCCTCCAGAAGAATAAGTTGAAGAATCTCTCAGGTGAATTCATCGGCTCTATGCAAAAGCTAGTTGTTTTGGATCTATCAGATAATGATGATTTCCAAAAACTTCCTGAGCAGATATCGAAGCTGGCCTCCTTGCAGTATCTTAACTTGTCGTACACAAGTATAAAGCAACTGCCAGTTGGTTTCCAAGAGTTGAAAAAGCTAATTCATCTGGATTTGACTGGTACAGAGAGTCTTTGTAGTATCAGTGGGATATCAAAGCTGTCGAGTTTAAGAATTTTGAGACTAGAAAATTCTAAAGTTCATGAAGATGTTAGCTTGTTGAAGGAGCTGCAGCTCTTGTAGCATCTACAAGTTCTAGACATAACGATCTCTACCGAGTTGGGTTTGAAGCATATATTAGGCGATCAAAGGTTGGCTAACTGCATCATTCATCTGGTTATTCAAGGTTTTAAAGAAAAGCCATTCAATATGTCATCGCTGGTGAGTATGGAGAATCTTCGTGAGCACTGTGTGAAAAAAAGTCATGTCTCGGAGATTAATACATATACTAAATGCAGAGAAAGCGAGACCGACTCATCTCATTTACACAATCGGACAAGTCCACGCTTTACCAACCTCTCCGTCGTGGCAATGGTTAGCTGTCCTGGCATTAAGGATCTGACTTGGCTACTGTTTGCTCCAAATCTGACTTGGCTAGACATTTCACATTTAGGAGAACTAGAAGAAATCATAAACAAAGAGAAAGCAACCAATCTTACAGGTACTACACCATTTCAGAAACTAGAAAAGTTATCCCTGTTACAGTTGCCTGAGCTGGAGAGTATCTACTGGAGTCCTCTCCCCTTTCCATCATTGCGGCACATATATGTAGGAAATTGTCCAAAGCTGAGAAAGCTTCCCTTTGATGCTACAAGTGTCCCACGACTTGACGGGTTTGGAATATATATGCGTCCTGAAGAACAGAAAACTGAGCTTGAATGGGAGGATGAAGATACCAAAAAACGTATCTTGCCTTTAATCCATTCGGTAATCATTTCTCTTATTCTCTTCCGCTTGAATAAATTATTTTATCTTACTGCGTTTCTTTCAAGTTTGCTCAAGGTTAGAATGAGGTGTGATCGTTTTTTCTTTGGTCTGATATTATCCATTTGCATCATGATATCCAACAAAACACAAATTGAGGCACAAAATTAGACAATTATCTGGAAAATCATCAGACCTGTGTTTAATGGATATATACGAGGGGTCATTAAAATTTCTACATATGTGCATTGAGCTGTTCAAATGACTATATCTACAAACAGTGTTTTTCTTCTTCTTCTTTTCCTTTCACATTCGTTAAGCAAAGAATATATAAAAATATTTAATAGAAACTGATTAATATTAGTTCAGCTTCTTAAGATTTTGCTGGATATTCCTAGCAGTTTTAGGTGAAATGTATTTTTTTTATGAATATTCACTAACTTTTGTTTATTTTTTTCTTCTTTAGCGGATTCAGTATGTCTAACCATCCCTTAAGCTGGATTGGGATTCCTCACTGTCAGAAACCAGAATCCTCGCTTCTTCTTCTGCGTTCTCTTTCTTCTTGAAAGTGTGATGTGTTGCTCATTTGGATTGTATTATTGCTTTTCCTATGCATTCTTATCTCTCTCTGCAGTGTGTTGTGTTGTTCAATTGGATTTTCTCTTTTCAATTTTCTATGTAATAAGTTAAGGCGGATTGCTTCCTTCTCAAGCTACATGTATTTATATAATCAACAGTTTTTATGCTTATATCATAAAAGTATGTGATGCCTCTGAATTCACTGTGTATTTTGATTCCTCACTATCCAAAATCAAATTCCTCTACCTGTAGCTTTTTCTATTTCATCTTGCAGTGTGTTTCTGTTGTTAACAGGAGGAATCAAGATGAAAAGTTATATGATTTTGCTAAATCATGAAGATCCTGTTTTTCAGACTCTTTAATTTAAATCCCCTAAACCTAATCTGAAGACGCTATGACTTCCATCTAATCCTAAACTATGTCTAGTGGCTTTCTGATTTGGGGCAATAACTAGAGACAACTTCGCTTAAGAAGACATGGAAAGAGTCTTCTTAATTTTAAGAGTTTTCACATTCCTTTCCTAATGGCTTCACCACATTAAGAACATTAAAACAAGAACCCAAGAACAAATCTTCAGCCAAAAAAAAAAAAACAAATTCGCAAGCTTAATTGATACGCTCAATTATTCACCACCCACCGGTCTTGAACATTGGTTCGTCGTTTGAATTAGCTGCGTGTCCAGAAACTACAACAATCTTGTAGAGTAGTTTCTGGCAAAACTCAATCTTCTTTCTTTTACAAAATTGTCTTTCTCACTCTTGTCTAGCATTTCTCAGAATGATTCTTGCAGACGGCGACTATATACAAAGCAGCGAAGCTGATAAGAACCGGTACCAGGCATCTAGTATTTACATATGACTCAATATATTATAAAAAAAAATTAAAATTCAATGGACCAATGCTAACACAAAGCAAATAGCCGTTCGCAATTTGTAACATTTGATTGCATCAATAGCCTGTAAGAAGCGGTTATAGCCTGGGCCTGATCTCGGTCTACTCCATTAGAAAATTCAAAATTGTAAATTAAATGTTCATTAGTCTTATACTGAAGAGTGAATACAATACAATTTGAAGCTTAGCATAGTAACACCTAAAAAAAACATTTTAGCAGACCTAAAACTTTTAAGACTATATTTTGGTTAATTCGTATGTTTGATTATTTATTTTTTTGAATAACTAAACCATATGTGAGCATAATAATTTTTAGTGAGATGACCTTTGATTCTATATCATGATATATGTTTCTAAGTTTTATAGGTTCTAACTAAAAAAAAATTGGTAATAAAATGGATTCTGGTATATATGAATTATGAGTGTATCTCTTATATAGTTCTTTAAGTCCATTTCCTCTAGATGATAACTATCTCGCACATCTTGAAGACTCAAACCAAAACATATTCTAAGATTTGCAGTATGCCATACACGAACTACAATATTTCTTATTCGGGCTATCCTACTTAAATCAACAAAGTTGGATTATGCTACCACATTACGTTATGATATTCTGATTTAAAAGTAGCTGGTAATTAGCAGATTGATTAATTTCACTTATATATTACTACCGTAAGTCAACAAAATTTGGATTCCGCTACCACATTACGTTTTATGGGGTTCTGATTTAAAAATAATTGGTGCGGATTGATCCATTTCACTTATATATTACTTTGGGTTCTATCAAATATTCAGTATAAGATTCCTAACATTTGTTTCAATAATGTGTTTAATTTGCTATACTTTATTTTCTTTTTTAACTAAAAATAAACAATAAAAGCTTATGCTATCAGGAAAAGAAGAAGAAAATATTGATAATTATAAAATTCTATATCGAAATCTAGACTAATTTTTGTAGTTTGTGAATAATTAAAAACTGAGTATATTTATCATTTAATATGGCTTCAGATTTCAACTACAGTTGAAATTGTTGTAAGAATATTCAAATTATTAGTATTCTAATCTTAAAGTAAATCATCCAACCACTAAATACCATGAGCATAGTTGTAAGAGAAATACCAATGTTTTCAGACCCAGATCGGACCGGACGGTTTAACCGGTTAAACCGTGACCTGGTAAAATTTCCGGTTTAGTTTTTGTTGAAACCCAAAATGCTATTAAACCGCTTAAATCCAGAAAAACCCGCTTAAACTCGGTGAACCGGCAAAAACCCGATCTGGATGGGTTTCTGGTTTGGAAAAAAATTAATAGTTTTATAAATTTATTTATGAATATATGATATTTTTTTAAAAAAAAAATACAGTTTTAGAAAACAAAATTAGAACAAGATGCAGAGCACTTACAATAACAGAAGATGGAAAAAATGAGGTGGTAACAAAATCAAAAAATATTGCTAAAATTTTCTACATTATTTTTGGATTTTAGAGACAATTAATATACTTTTATTTGAATGTTTTTAGTAGTAATAACAGTTTGTTTTTCTATATTTTATTGAATAGTTTGTTATTTTCTCACCATTATACAATTGTAAGTTTTGTAATATCAAATTTTCTAGTAAAAAATTAACTGTTTAAAAAAGAAAATAAATAAAAGGAAAAAATATATAATTAAAAATGTTCAAAAATATAGTTAATATGATCACTATATTTAGTGTATATTTTAATTTAATTTTATTAAAAAAAATTATATAGAAAAAGATATATAATAATTAATGCGATTTAGTGACAAAACTTTTTAGCAAAAATTTGTATTTTTTTACATTAAAAAAAATGTAACAAAAGTGATAAAATTTATTAAAAAACATAACAAATATATATACTTAGTTGATCCGCGGTTGACCCGGATTAATCCAGGTCAATCCAGTTAACCGACAATCCGAAGAATACTTCGGGTCGTTGTCCGGGTCGGGTTTAAAAACATTGAGAAATACTAAAGCATCTAAAGATGAGAAGCAACATAGAAACTGACTGACATGAAAAACATGATACTAATGTTGGAAAAAAAGAAAGTTTGATATTTGTTTAATCATAATGAATTTCGTGTTCAGGTGTTTGTTAGCGGTCGTAGATTCTTCTTTTCTACATAATTTAGTCTACTTTCAATTTTCGAAATATTATACAAAACAATGAAAACAATTCTCGTTTAGATTATTTTATCCACAAAATTTTGAGAAATATTTTTAAAAATTGATTTTAATATCTAAATCATTTAAAGATTTTTTATTGATTTTCTAGACACTATGTTATAGGCTTTGATTCAAAATTTCTTAATTATCTCTTTGATTCGAGTATTTAAATGTTATATATGTATAATATTATGTCTTACCAAACAAAACACTACGCTTAATTACCCTATTTATATATATAAGGTTGACAATGTCTTTAGGAAACAAACAAATCCAAGAGATGATGAGGTGCTTCCTCACCTATCGAATAATATTGACAACATAAAAAACTTCCTTCGCTTTACCATTTTTCTTCTTCTCTTCTGTTTCTTTTTTTCTTTCTGCTCCGTGTCACTATTTGAATCTCTGATTATCTCGTTTCCTTCAAAATTCTTGTTCCCGGAATTTGATTCTTTTCTCACGTTCTAGATTTGAAATCTCAACGGGAAGCAACCTCCGTGTTTCTCCTTTTGAATTTCCCGAAAATCTCGAGCTCTGTCGTGTAGTGACAATTGGGATTTTTTTTTCAGCTCCGATTCACCGTTTTTTCGATCGATTACGGAAGCTAGAGATTCGGATTCCATTGATTCCCACGGATTTGCTGGAAATCGAGTAGAAAATGGCGAAGCGTGGATATAAGCTGCGTATCCTTTTATATTCCTGGCGATGTTGTTGATTCTTAAGCTGAGTAAAATTGAACGAACTCTGGATTTTTAGCTCCATCCTGAGAAATTTTTGTCGTCTTTTTTTTTTTTTTTTTAAATCACCGAATCGTTAGGGTTTTATCTTTAAAAACTCCCAAGAGCAAAGCTTAGTTTGCTATTGATAAGCTTCAAGTTTTGATTAGCATTTCAAGATTTTAGCAGAAATTAATTCCGGGTCAAATGTTTCTATCACTGGCTGCTCAATATGATAGAAAATGGATATTTTCTGGATATGTTTTGTATGTGAAAGTACTTCTCTCCATTTATGACCTGCTTTATGTTTTGCTGTCGAGTTGCTTCAAAGGCTGCTCCTTTCTTTAGCTGTTCTTGTCTGGTGTTTGCTTATACCTTGACTTGATTTTGGAAACGTAGAGGAGTTTTTGGCACATTCTGCAAATGTAAATTGCTTAAGTATCGGAAAGAAGACATCACGGCTCCTTATTACTGGTGGTGATGATTACAATGTCAACCTTTGGGCGATCGGCAAGCCTACTTCTTTAATGGTGTGTTTCACGTTTTCTCTCTTGTCTAAATTTTTCCTCCTTGTTGAGCAAAAAGTGTGTATTGTTTTTTATATAGAAGAGTGCTGCTATATTCATTTCTTGAGTTGTTTGCAGAGTTTATGTGGACATACTAGTGCAGTGGATTCAGTAGCTTTTGACTCGGCAGAAGTTTTGGTGCTTGGTGGAGCTTCTTCGGGTGTGAGAAAGCTTTGGGATCTAGAAGAAGCAAAGAGTTAGTTGATTGATTTTCTGCTCTCCTTTAGAATACTTGTTGCTCCTTATATGCCTAGCTAGTTTCATCAAATGGGAACATATAGAGATACCGATTGAGTTAGATGTTGATTATGGGTCCTGATATTTGAGCAGTGTACCACACCATATCTATCGTTTACTTTAGAATTATGAGGTCTAACATGTTCACTCTTACTCTTGAAGTGTAGTGGTTCGAGCTTTTACTGGACATAGATCCAATTGTTCTGCTGTTGAATTTCATCCATTTGGTGAATTTTTGGCATCATAGATCAAGTGACACGAATTTGAAGATTTGGGACATCAGAAAGAAGGGATGCATACAGAGGTACAAGGGTCATACTCGTGGCATCAACACTATCAAATTTACTCCAACGTATGTTGTAAATTTTGTAGTGACTGGAGGACTTGACAATGTTGTAAAGGTAAGCACTGCAATATCTATAAATGGATCTTGCGCATTCTCTTTTCCCCAACGTATGTGTTTCTAACAATTGATATAATATTTGATCATATCCAATAGGTATGGGATTTGACTGCTGGAAAGCTTATACATAATTTTATCTTTCATGTTTCACCTGATCACCGGTCTGAGGTTTATTTGCGCTGTAACCTTTCAAATTCATCTATGAAAATGAATTAAATTATAAAACAAAACAAAAAAAATCAATGTCAGTGAACCCACTTCCAAAATAGAACCATAATACTGCTTTAACCGGCTTAAAGAATTAATGATATAACCAGTCTTGATTAAACCAGAACTCAATTTCAGTAAACCCCAACTTGTTCATCATAAGCCACGAAATTTCCCAAACTAGAGAACTTAGAAATCCACTGTTTGCTCCAAATCTTGTCGTCTACGTGGATATTCAGAAGAAGTAGAAGATATTATTATAAGCAAAGAGAAAGAAGTCAATCTTACAGTTAGAGGTATTACACCGTTTCAGAAACTAGAAGTGTTTTCGATAAGAAATTTGCTTAAGCCGGAGAGTATCTACTGTTATTGCAAAAATTAACAGTAGAAGAGTGTCCACAGCTGAGAAAGCTTCCCTTAGATGCTACAAGTGTCCCACGAATTGCCTGGTTTACAATAGGTATGGGTCCTGGAGAAGAGATAAACTGAGCTTGAATGGGAGGACGAAGATACCAAAAACGTTTCTTGCCTTTAATCCATCTGGTAATCAGTTCTCTTATACTCTTCCGCTTGAGTTGTTTTTTTTCATCTCTAAAGTTTCTTACTTGTTTGCTCTAGAATAGCTTGAAGTATGCACCCTTATTTAGACTGATACTCTCCATTTGCATCATAATATATCATACACCCAACAAACACAAATTGGAACAACATAATAAAAAATTATTAGAAAAGTCATGCATGTATTTGGGGGATTAATTTCATTATTTAAAAATGTAAAAACATATGTGTATTGATCTTCAAAGGATAAAATCACAAACAATTTCTTCTTCTTTTCTTTCCACATTTGGGTTTCTTGTTCAGCAAGAAATGAATGGGACGATAAAAATATATATTAAAGTGGCAGCGGAAGTCCATGGAACAACAATACGTGATACAACATTAAGAAGTTTCACCAAGTTTTCGAGAAAAAATCTTACACTTCTTCCCCCAGATTCGATTTGCCACCGCATTGACTAGAAAAGTTCTACTACCCAACAGATTTGGCAGTAGGACATTCTGGTTTTAGACATGGCAAAATACTTTGTATGTTCGATTTTTCATCATCCTCAGCTTTATAAAACTCCCTGATCATATTCTTTCTGCCATTCATCAAGTCTTTTTTTAAAAGCTTTTATATACTTTCTACTCTTAGACATGACTAAAACTCCATTAATGAGCAACTTAAAGAATTCAAACCCAGATTTATCTCAAGTAGCACATAATAAATTCTCAATAGGGTGCTAAAAAGAAACATGAATCTAAATGAAATCATAAACAGGCAATGCCTAAATCTAAGGTATGTTCTTCTACTACAGAGAGACTAACGAAAAAATAGAATCGGCACAACACAATAATCGTATAGGATTTCAACGCAAAAGAAGACTCCACTTCGTAAGCTACTTTGGGCATAACAGACAATGATTACTTAATCATCTCCACTACTTGACCAATCCACGTTTCTGTCACCTTAGACTTGGGTTTCCTTTTAATTTTCTTTTTGCTCAAATGAGATTTTATAGATTAGCTACGCTCCATTAGAGGAAGACTTGTTTACAAACAATAACAAAGCCAACATGGCTAACAAATTGACAGCTACAAGCGCCAAACGAAGAACATAAGAGCAGAAGATAGGACTTTAGTTGACTTGAAATAAGTTTGAGCAAAGTCTTCACTCGTAAAATCTATGGTCGGATATTAGAATAGTCAAAGTCTTTCGTAAGCAATTTTTTTTTTTCCCTTTGGAAAATCTCCTAACCACCCGTATTGGAGAAAGATGTGTTATCTTATCTCCAATGATATTTTTGACAATAAAAACTTCTTCAGCTTCAGAAATATTCTCTTTCTATCACCATAGAGAAATTGTGTGGCTTTTCATTTTTCATGTGAATCGTATCAGTCGATGCATATGTGGGAGTGGTGGAAATTAGAAACCAAAGAGGACCGACAGATAACAAATCATATATGCCTTCGTCACTTGTAAAATGCTTTTCACATAAAACACTTCTTCATCTTTAGCTTTCGTTTGTTGCTTACTCAAAGTTTTCTCTCTTTCTATCGACATGGGGAGTTGTAATCCTATCCAACTTACTGGTGGTGATCTCAATCGTATCTTTAGATTCTTATGTGGCAAAGGTTATATTCGAAACCTCAAGGAGAATCTCAGGGCTCTGAAGAGGGAAATGGATGATCTCAAGGCAATTGAAGCTGAGGTGAAGAACAAAGTAGCGAGAGAGGAGGCACAACATCAACAAAGGCTTGAAGCTGTCAAGGTATGGCTAACACGTGTCGAGAGCATCGATACACGATTCAATAATCTGCTTAGTACTAGTCCTGTTGAGCTTAAGAAGTTATGTCTCTGTGGTTTATCTTCAAAAAGTGTATGTTCCAGCTACAAATATGGGAAAAAGGTATTCTTGTTGCTGAAAGAGGTTAAGAAACTCAAATCGGAGGGTAATTTTAAAGAGGTTACTGAGCCGGTTTTGAGATCTGCAGTAGAAGAAAGGCCTACTGGGCCTACGATTGGTCAGGAAACAATGCTGGAAAAGGCATGGAAGCGCCTTATGGAAGATGGAGTTGGAATCATGGGTTTGCACGGTATGGGTGGTGTAGGCAAGACTACCCTTTTCAAGAAAATCCACAATAAGTTCACTGAAATAGGTAGATTTGATGTTGTGATCTGGGTTGTGGTGTCTCAAGGTGCAACTATTTCAAAGCTTCAAGATGATATTGCAAAAAACCTACACCTTTGCGACGGCGAGTGGAAGAACAAAAGTGAAAGTGACAAGGCAATCAATATACACAGAGTTTTAAAAGGGAAGAGATTTGTCCTGATGTTAGATGATATATGGGAGAAATTGGATTTAGAAGCCATTGGAGTTCCGTTTCCCACCAGAGAAAATGGATGCAAAGTAGCATTCACCACTCGTTCTCGGGAAGTATGTGGGCGGATGGGAGATCATGAGCCGATGAAAGTCGACTGTTTGGGACAAGAAGAAGCATGGAAATTGTTCAAAAGCAAAGTAGGAGACAATACATTAAGTAGAGATCCTGCCATTGTCGAGCTTGCCAAAAAGGTCGCTAAAGAATGTTGTGGTCTGCCACTAGCGCTTGTTGTCATTGGTGAGACAATGTCATCTCAAACTACGGTACAAGAATGGGAGCTTGCAGTCGATGTTTTGTCCAGATCAGCTGCAGAGTTTTTTGACATGGAAAACAAAATTCTTCCGATTCTGAAGTATAGCTATGATAGCTTGGCGGGTGAACATATCAAGTCGTGTTTCCTCTATTGTGCTCTGTTTCCGGAAGATTATGAGATAGATAAAGGAGATTTGATAAAATATTGGATGTGCGAGGGATTCATCGGGGAACACCAATCTTATAAAAGGGCAGTGAATAAGGGTTATGAGGTACTTGGTACCCTTATCCGCTCAAATTTACTGACAGAACAGCCTGATAGGATAGGTCTTGTTGTGATGCATGACGTGGTTCGCGAAATGGCTCTATGGATTGCATCTGAGTCTTTTTTTGTTCAAGCAGGAGTCGGATTACACGAAACGCCAAAAGTCAAGAATTGGAGAGCTGTGAGAAGGATGTCTTTAATGAGGAATGAGGTTAAAGAGATAAAATGCAGTTCCAAGTGTTCTGAACTTACAACTCTGCTCCTCCAGAAGAATAAGTTGAAGAATCTCTCAGGTGAATTCATCGGCTCTATGCAAAAGCTAGTTGTTTTGGATCTATCACTTAATCTCGCTTTCGAAAAACTTCCTAAGCAGATATCGAAGCTGGCCTCCTTGCAGTATCTTAACTTGTGGGGCACAAGTATAAAGCAACTGCCAGTTGGTTTCCAAGAGTTGAAAAAGCTAATTCATCTGGATTTGAGTTATACATACAGTCTTCGTAGTATCAGTGGGATATCAAAGCTGTCGAGTTTAAGAATTTTGAAACTAAGATTTTCTAAAGTTGATGGAGATGTTAGCATGTTGGAGGAGCTGCAGCCCTTGGAGCATCTACAAGTTCTAGAGATAACGATCTCTACCGAGTTGGGTTTGAAGCATATATTAGGCGATCCAAGGTTGGCTAACTGCATCAATTCTCTGGGTATTCGAGGTTTTAAAGAAAAGCCATTCAATATGTCATCGCTGTTGAGTATGGAGAATCTTAGTGTGCTCCATGTGGATGGTAGTCATGTGTCGGCGATTGATACATATATTAAATGCAGAGGAAGCAAGACCGACTCATCTCATTTACACAATCCAACAAGTCCATGCTTTACCAACCTCTCCGTCGTGACAATTTATAGCTGTCATGGCATTAAGGATCTGACTTGGCTATTGCTTTCTCCAAATCTTACTCGGCTAAGGATTTCACGTTCAGAAGAAGTAGAAGAAATCATAAACAAAGAGAAAGCAACCAATCTTGCTCGTATTACACCATTTCAGAAACTAGAATACTTATTCCTGGACAATCTGCCTGAGCTGGAGAGTATCTACTGGAGTCCTCTCCCCTTTCCATCATTGCGGGACATAGAAGTCGATTATTGTCCAAAGCTGAGAAAGCTTCCCTTTGATGCTACAAGTGTCCCACGACTTGACGGGTTTGGAATATCTATGGTTCCTGAAGAACAGAAAACTGAGCTTGAATGGGAGGATGAAGATACTAAACATCGTTTCCTGCCTTTATTCGCTCGGGTAATCATTTCTCTTATTCTCTTCCGCTTGAATAAATTATTTTATCTTACTTCAGTTTCTTTCAAGTTTGCTCAAGGTTAGAATGAAGTGTGATCGTTTTTTTTTAGTCTGATATGATCCATTTGCATCATGATACATTGATACCCAACAAAACACAAATTGGGTCACAAAATTAGAAAATTCTCTCGAAAATCATCAGGCCTGTGTTTGTTGGATATTAACGAGGGATCATAATTTCAAAAGCTTAAATACATATGTGCATTGAACTCTTCCAATGACTAAATCACAAACAGTAACAGTATTTTCTTTCTTCTTCTTTTCCTTTCACATTCGTTAATGAAGGAATATATAAAAATATTTAATAGAAACTGTTGAAAATTGGTTCAGCTTCTTATTAAGATATTAAATGGTGAGGCAGAATTTGCTGGATATTCCTAGCAGTTTTAGGTGAAATGTATTTTTCTGAATATTCACTAACTTTGTTTATTTATTTTTTTTCTTATAGTGAGATATTAGGACTAACCATCCCTCAATTTGGATTGGAATTCCTCACTGTGATAAACCAGAATCCACGCTTCTTCTTCTGCTTTCTCTTTCTTCCTCAAAGTATGATGTGTTCTTCATTTGGATTGTATTATTGTTTTTCCTATCATCCTATGCAGTCTCATACCTCTCTGCAGTGTGTTGTGTTGTTAAATTGGATTTTCTTTTTCATTTTTCTATGTAATAAGTTAAGGTGGATTACTTCCTTCTCAAGCTACATGTATTTATATAATCAACAGTTTTTATGCTTTTACGTGAAAGGATATATCATAAAAGTATGTGATGCCTCTGAATTTACTGTGTATTTTGATTCCTCACTATCCAAAATCAAATTCCTCTACCTGTAGCTTTTTCTATTTCATCTTGCAGTGTGTTTGTATTGTTAACCGGAGGAATCAAGATGAAAAGTTATATGATTTTGCTAAATCATGAAGATCCTGTTTTTCAGACTCTTTAATTTAAACCCCCTAAACCTAATCTGAAGATGCTATGACTTCCATCTAATCCCAAACTATATCTAGTGGCTTTCTGATTTGGGGGCAATAAGCTTAAGAGACAACTTCACTTAAGAAGACATGGAAAGAGTCTTTTTAATTTTAAAAGTTTTCACATTCCTTTTTTAATGGCTTCACCACATTAAGAACATTAAAACAAGAACCCAAGAACAAATCTTCAGCCAAAAAAACAAAAAAAAACAAATTCGCAAGCTTAATTGATATGCACAATTATTCACCGCCCACCGGTCTTGAACATTGGTTCGTCGTTTGAAATAGCTGCGTGTCCAGAAACTACAACAATCTTGTAGAGTAGTTTCTGGCAAAACTCAATCTTCTTTCTTTTACGAAATCGTCTTTCTCACTTTTGTCTAGCATTTCTCAGAATGATTCTTGCAGACGGCGACTATATACAAAGCAGCGAAGCTGATAAGAACCGATACCGGACATCTAGTATTAAACTGAGTGTTGTCCATTTCCATATGACTCAATAGAAGTTATAAAAAAAAAAATTGAAAATTCAATGGACCAATGCTAAGAACATCTATAATGGTGAATGGGGTTCACCTCAAATTTTTTATTAATAAAATTTTGAGAAGAAAAAGAAAGTTAAAGAAGAGAAAAAGTCGAAGAAGAGAAGAAGAAAAGAGAGAGAAAGAGAGAGGAGATGAAAGAGAAAAGACCAATAAATAGAATTACACGATGTCATGCATGAACTCTTCCTAAAACCGACTCCAAAATCTCTAAATTAAGACCAGTTTTATGAAAATTGGGCTTTATTCATTTATTTTTAATGAAAAAAACCCATAAACCCTATGTTTAAAATCTCCGATGGTCTAACACAAAGCAAATAGCCATTTGCAATTTGTAACATTTGGTTGCATCAATAGCCTGTAAGAAGCGGTTATAGCCTGGGCCTGATCTCGGCCTACTCGAAAATTCAAAATTCTAAACTAAATGTTCATTAGTCTTATATTGAAGAATGAATACAATACAATTTGAAGCTTAGCATAGTAACACCTTAAAAAAAAAACATTTTAGCAGACCTAAAACTTTTAAAACTATATTTTGGTTAATTCGTATGTTTGATTATTTATTTTTTTAAATCACTAAACCATATGTGAGCATAATATTTTTTAGTGAGATGACCTTTGATTCTATCATAATATATGTTTCTAAGTTTTATAGGTTCTAACTAAAAAAAAATTGGCAATAAAATGGATTCTGGTATATATATTATGAGTGTATCTCTTATATAGTTCTTTAAGTCCATTTTCTCTAGATGATAACTATCTAGCACATCTTGAAGACTCAAACCAAAACATATTCTAAGATTTGCAGTATGCCATACACGAACTACAATATTTCTTATTCGGGCTATCCTACTTAAATCAACAAATTTGGATTATGCTACCACATTACGTTATGATATTCTGATTTAAAAGTAACTGGTAATTAGCAGATTGATTAATTTTACTTATATATTACTACTGTAAGTCAACAAAATTTGGGTTCCGCTACCACATTACGTTTTATGGGGTTCTGACCTAAAAGTAATTGGTGCGGATTGATCCGTTTCACTTATATATTACTTTAGGTTCTATCAAATTTTCAGTATAATATTCCTAACATTTGTTTCAATAATGTGTTCAATTTGCTATACTTTGTTTTTTTTTTACTATAAATACAAATAAAAGCTTATGCTATCAGGAAAAGAAGAAAAAAATATTGATAATTATAGAATTCTATATCGAAATCTAGACTAATTTTTGTAGTTTGTGAACAATTAAAAACTGAGTATATAAATCATTTAATATGGCTTCAGATTTCAACTGCAGTAGAAATTGTTGTAAGAATATTCAAATCTTAGTATTCTAATCTTAAAGTAAATCATCCAACCACTAAATACCATGAACATAATTGTAAGAGAAATACTAAAGCATATAAAGATGAGAAGCACCATAGAAACTGACTGACCTAGGAAAACATGATACTAATGTTGAAAAAAAAGAAGGTTCCGATATTTGTTTAATCATGATGCAGAAAAATATTTGGAAATATTTCAAATATTTTTATTATTTATTTAATTATTCAGATAATTTCTTTTTATTGTTTTGAAGTTTTTTAGTGTTTTGGATTTATCATAAATAAGCTATTTAGATCTAAGTTGTATTCAATATTGGATTGATTAATAAAATAAAGAAATTCTCTTATTTCTGGTGTTTGATTTGATTAATTCATCAGAATAAGAAGCTGGTCTCAAATGATTCTTCGAATCTCTTGATCAAACGAAACAGATCCCAAATGAAGATTTATTGAATCTCTTGGTTGAACTGACAAGTTTCTAGTAATTCTATCGAATTTCTAAATTGAGCTAATTATCCCGTTCATATTATTTTTTAAAGCTTCTGCTATATCAAATTATAATAAGTTTGGGTGTTTGTTAGCTTGCTTGTGGATTCTTTTTTTCTATATAATTTAGCCCATTTTCAATTTTCGAAGTACTGTGCAAAACAATGAAAACAATTCTAAGTTATATGATTTTATCCACAAAATTTTGATAAATATATATTTTTTTTGTCAAACCATTCTTCATTAGATTAAACTTCTACAGTACAAGAAGAGGGAATGTAGCATCCTCTTCGATTGTTACAACACAAAATGAAAACAAAGAAGTAACTAACAGATAGATCATCATCATGAAAGATGGACAGCGCATTTGGGACTAGCCACAAATGCGTCAAATTAACCTTCGCGGCAAAGCCGGAGAGTTTAAATTTAGTCACTTTGGAGAGTGACGTTGAAAGAGAACCTCTACCTCCTCCGATATTCGTATTAACGAAATCGTCTATGAAAGGGAGCAAGATGGTAGAGAAATTCACAAGGTCTTCCGGCAATAAACCCGGAGTAATATTACCTCTCGGTGAGGTCTTTGAAGTCCAAGGAGAAAGCTCGAGCAAACAATTAACATTGATGAATGGACAACGAGCATGGTGGGGTCACGGTGGCGGAGACAGCTGGTACTGATGGCTGAACCGAGGTGGAAGGAGAACGATAGAGGGTAAACGGAAGGACTCCAGACCGACGAACTGTCTCGTCATATTGGGCTGAACCCACAGTAAAGAATAGCCGGAAATAAAACACATCTTCGAAGAGATGGAAGAGACAATGATAATACCCATCTTTGGGAAGACGAAGGAGACAATGAAGATCTTGGCTCGGAGGAGAAAGCCAGAAGTTTCTTTGACCGGAGAAACGCCGGAAGGGAACATCCAAAAACACTGTAAGAATCGAACAGGGCTGAGCAATTGCTTCACCTGAGGGTCCCTTACTAAACTTTCAGAGGCAGTTTGTCCTCGAAACAGCCTGAGAGAGTTCGAAGAGAAACGCAGGAAAAACAACGGCAGACCCAGCAAGAATATGGACCAGAGACCAAACAATAGCCAATCGATCCAAGAGAAACCAAAGCCCATACCTTCGAAAGAGGCCATGGAGAACCCGATGCTAGATATGTCGATTAAAAACATTGGTAAGATGCTCTTTATTGGGCCTTGCAGCATTGGTGTGCCCAATAGCATCACTTCAAAGCCCATGTCCAGGCCCAAGATAGGAGAGACATCGGGAACAGCAGCAAAAACGTTGCCAGAGGCCAAGCTTAGCCTCGTCGCTTGGACTAAGGTACTCGGAGGAGACCGCCGGAGAAGCATCTGCGGATTCACCTGAGAAGACACTCTTGACGGTAGTATTGCAGATGAACCAGATGGCGGAGGGAACCGGTGTGGAAGAGTGAATACCGGCGGGGTATGAGTGTGGAATAGATATGGCGTGTGAAAGAAGACGCGGGCAAGGCCGATTGATAGCTTCGTCGGAGGACACCGTAAGAGCTTTACAAAGGCTTTTTGTCCTCGAAATGGCCTGAGAAAGCTCGAAGGCGAACACAGCAGAAGCGGCAACACAACCGGGTAGAGGGAGGATCGACGGTTGAAGAGCAGATTGGCAAGAAGCTCCGGTGGATTCAGGTGCTCCGGAAGCAGAGATGATAACAGGGCGAAGAGAAACAATAGTAGATCCATCGAAGAAATCACAGAGTAAAACGCAGAGATGAAAGAAGGCTGTGGAATAAAAGCTTTAGTCGGACCTTTTCTCACGGCCAGCGGCCGGAGAAAAGCTCGACCCAAACCAAGTAAGGATGCTTTGACCACCAGCACAGGAAAGACGGATGAGGAAATGAGGTCACCGGCGGAGAAGAACTCAGAAAACCAGGAGCAGCGGCGCTTAGAAAAACGTGCCTGGGAGAAAATTCAAATGAAGCCAATTAAAAATGACATTTTAGGTGAAGTGGTTTTTCTTTTTTTAAAAAATTAATTTCAATATCTAAATCATTTAAAAGTTTTCTATTGATTTTCTAGCCACTCTGTATAGGCCTTGATTCAAAATTTCTTATTTATCTTTTTGATTTGAGTATTTAAGTGTTATATTTATATAATATTACGTCTTACCAAACAAAACATTACGCTTAATTACCTTATTTATATATAAGGTTGACAATATCTTTAGGAAACAAACAAACCCAAGAGATGATGAGGTGCTTCCTCACCTATCGAATAATATTGACAACATAAAAAAATGTTAAATTATGAAGGAGTTGGAGAAAAAACTGAAACCAATAGAAATCAATTAAAAGCAAGGGTATTTTCATAATTTCATATTTTCATTTCAATGCCTGGACAAAAGGGTATTTCCCTCAGAACTGAGAAGAACGAACAACGAAGAAATGAGGTCCACTGTCCAAGAAAAATGCTTAAAAATCTGAATTAAAAATTAAAAAACGACCGACCGAACAATAAATAAAAAATAAAAAAATGTGTAACTCTGAAGAAAAGAATAAAATAAAAACTTCCTTCGCTTTACCATTTTTCTTCTTCTCTTCTGTTTCTTTTCTTCTTTCTGCTCCGTGTCACTATTTGAATCTCTGATTTTCTCGTTTCCTTCAAAATTCTTGTTCCCGGAATTTGATTCTTTTCTCACGTTTTAGATTTGAAATCCCAACGGGAAGCAACCTCCTTCTTCTTCATGTTTCTCCCTTTGAATCTCCCGAAAATCTCGAGCTCTGTCGTGTAGTGGCAATTGGGAATTTTTTTCAGCTCCGATTCACCGTTTTTAGGATCGATAACGGAAGCTAGAGATTCGATTCCGGATTCGGATTGCATTGATTCCCACGGATTTGCTGGGAATCGAGTAGAAAATGGCGAAGCGTGGATATAAGCTGCGTATCCTTTTATATTCCTGGCGATTTTGTTGATTCTTAAGCTGAGTAAAATTGAACGAACTCTGGATTTTTAGCTCCATCCTGAGGATTTTTTGTCGTTTTTTTGTATCACTGAATCGTTAGGGTTTTATCTTACAAAATCCCAAGAGCAAAGCTTAGTTTGCTATTGATGAGCTTCAGTTTTTATTAGCATTTTAAGATTTTAGCAGAAATAAATTCCGGGTCAAATGTTTCTATCACTGGCTGCTCAACATGATAGAAAATGGATATTTTCTGGATATGTTTTGTATGTGAAAGTACTTCTCTCCATTTATGACCTGCTTTATGTTTTGCTGTCGAGTTGCTTCAAAGGCTGTTCCTTTCGTGAGCTGTTCTTGTCTGGTGTTTGTTTATACCTTGACTTGATTTGGAAACTTAGAGGAGTTTTTGGCACATTCCGCAAATGTAAATTGCTTAAGTATTGGAAAGAAGACATTACGGCTCCTTATTACTGGTGGTGATGATTACAAGGTCAACCTTTGGGCGATCGGCAAGCCTACTTCTTTAATGGTGTGTTTCACATTTTCGCTCTTGTCTAAATTTTTCCTCCTTGTTGAGCAAAAAGTGTGTTTTGTTTTTTATATAGAAGAGTGCTGCTATATTCATTTCTTGTGTTGTTTGCAGAGTTTATGTGGACATACTAGTGCAGTGGATTCAGTAGCTTTTGACTCGGCAGAAGTTTTGGTGCTTGGTGGAGCTTCTTCGGGTGTGATAAAGCTGTGGGATCTAGAAGAAGCAAAGAGTTAGTTGATTGATTTTCTGCTCTCCTTTAGAATACTTGTTGCTCCTTATATGCCTAGCTAGTTCCATCAAATGGGAACATATAGAGATACTGATTGAAGTAGTGACGATGTTGATTACGGGTCCTGATATCTGAGCAGTGTACCTCGTTTACTTTAGAATTATGAGGTCTAACATGTTTACTCTTACTCTTGAAGTGTAGTGGTTCGAGCTTTTACTGGACATAGATCCAACTGTTCTGCTGTTGAATTTCATCCTTTTGGTGAATTTTTGGCATCGGGATCAAGTGACACGAATCTAAAGATTTGGGACATCAGAAAGAAGGGATGCATACAGACGTACAAGGGTCATACTCGTGGCATCAACACTATCAAATTTACGCCTGATGGTCGTTGGGTAGTGACTGGAGGACTTGACAATGTTGTAAAGGTAAGAACTGCAACATCAATAAATGGATCTTATGCATTGTCTTTTTCCAACCTATGTTCTTTTAACGATATACTATTGATCGTATCCCATAGGTATGGGATTTGATTGCTGGAAAGCTTTATACATGATTTTAAGTTTCATGAAGGACCTATTCGTTCGCTAGACTTCCACCCACTTGAGTTCCTCCTAGCCACAGGTTAGTCTGTGATCCTTTAATGTTTTGTTATTTTAGGGGCACAAGTGTTATACTGAGGTCTTGTATTTCATACACCCTCTATTCATTATTCAGGTTCTGCTGACAGGACCGTAAAGTTCTGGGATTTGGAAACGTTTGAATTGATTGGATCTACCCGACCAGAGGTACTTACCTGTTGTGAGAGTTCAAGTGTCACTAGATACTGTTTTCCGAGAGAATCTATCTCAAAGTGTTCTCACCCTTATAACCATTAACCATGATCACCTTGGAGGGAAACCTCACACAGTAATAATATCAGAAATTTCCTTATTCTCGGTCGTGCTCTGAAAAGCGTTACAGAGAAATTCCAATTGATAGTTAATTCCTCTTAAAATGATATCAGAGAAGTAAATAAAAGTAACTGGAGTTCCACAAAGTATCATCTTGAGAAATAATGTTTTGGCGTTGAGCTGGCTTTGTTGTCTTGTCTTGGAATATTTTATTTACAATCTTTTTCTTGCATGTGCTTTCCCTTGTCCCACAGGCTACTGGAGTCCGTTCAATGAAATTTCATCCTGATGGGCGAACCCTTTTTTGTGGTTTGGACGATGGCTTAAAGGTTTTGATTTGTCTTTTTGATGAGCTTTACCATAATTAGAGATCTCCAGAGTCAATACATTGATATCATAAGCTGATGCTCATAATTCAGGTTTATTCATGGGAACCAGTGGTTTGCCATGATAGTGTTGATATGGGATGGTCAACGCTTGGTGACTTATGCATCAGCGAAGGGAAGCTCTTGGGTTGTTCATACTACCAAAATTCCGTAGGGATTTGGGTCTCAGATATATCAGTATGTAGCCATTGTGATTCTCCTTACCTTTTAAATGTTATGTGAAGCTGATACTTCAAACTTCGAAAGCTCATACTTTCATTTCTCCATTATTTTAATCAGCAAATTGAACCATATGGCATTGGATCTGTGGATAAAAAGGAATGCATGGAGAAAATACTTAGTGTTCTAGACGATCAGTCTTCCGAGAGAGTAAGGAGTGACCCCAGGCGCAGCTCGTCTCCAGATTATGAGACAAAAGAGATCAAAAACATATACATTGACTGTGAGTGACTGTTAACTTTGTTTCGATGTACACGAATTCTTCTTTTCTACCTTGAATTTATTGAAGCTTGTCCTTTCAAGTAGGGATATGGCAGGTTAATGGTTAGGTTTTCATTTCTCAGAATCAATTACATTTAGGTAGGCCCTGTACGCTAGCTTACTAGTTGCTGCCATGCTACCGTTCTAATCAACACTAAAATGTTTAGTTGCGATGGAACTATAACGGAGATCACTAACTCGAGTTGACTTGTTCTAGTGATTGAAAGTTATCTTACGCTTAGCCCGGCTCTAGTCATTTAATTTCCGTACATGCTGTGTTTATTCCTTATTGTGTAGCTATTGAAACTGAAGGAGTTTGAAGTGGTAGTGTGCTTTTTATGAACAAAATAAATTATAGCCTTACCTATTGTGAGCTGGATTGTGATTTTCAGTGTTTAATGTCAGTCTGTGTGCTTCACCAATGTGATTATGTACCTCTCTCACTTCTGTATGCTTATGTTATGATAATATTTGATCTAATATTCTCTCTTTTCTTCAAAGCCACAGGTGGAAATTCAACTGTTGCACATAAGTCAGGATCACTAAGTGCTCCTAAAGCCAATGCAACATCTACTGGGCAACCAGGTGATAAATCATTCATAGTGCATAGTGATATTGGGAAAGACCCTTCTGAGTCCGGAAGGGAATCTATCACTTTCTCAAAAACGAAGCCGGGCATGCTGCTGAGACCAGCTCATGTAAGAAAAACGCCAACAAAGCAGGCAGTTGCTGTTCAATCTGGTATTCTGAAACAAAGCGGATTGGACGGTGAGAAAGAGCTGGACACTAAGTCTGCGATTGATTCAGAACAGAGTGGTAGAAAAACATTTGATGCCAGTGATTCTATCATCAAGAGTATAACCAACAAATTTGAAAAAGCTTTATTTCCAGAATTACCAGCTGATGAAGCGAAATGTAAGTTCTCCCAGTTCACAATTTGAGCTTTTAGATTATCTAATCCTATCTTATTGGAAATCTCTTACAATTTTGTCTCAGGTATGCAGCTGAAACCGCCTCGTGCACAGAAATCACCAAATACTAAGCACGATGAAATAAGATGGGCGGTGCCTGTTGATTCTGAAACTTTAGACAGTAAAAAAAGTGGTTTAGAGATCGCAAGAAACATAGATTTGCCAAAAGGGATTGTGGATGACAGAGGTAATAACCCGAGTGAGGAGGATTTAAATAACAAGATCAATTCAAGCAAGCAAGAAAGGGTTCGATCACCAGAGAAAGCTGGTGATGAACTAAAAAGTAAGTTATTTATTACTTGATTCAAAATCAGATTTGACTAATTAATGGGCATTTCCGCTTATGAAGTCTATGCTAGAACTTATGCAATTTTTATGTGTTGCTTCCACTTCTCTTTGCAAACTGTTTAAAAGACAACAAACAACACCAGATGAAATCAATCTAGAAGAGCTATTTTACAGCTTATAGTTATAAAATAGCATAGCTTTTAGGTTGCTAAATATAATTCTTTAGCTGCATTTAGGGCCGAATTGCCTTACAGTTTTCTTTATCGGTTGGGTCAAGTTACTTTGTTATGAGCCTACAATCAGTTTGCAAGTGATTGATATAAATATTCTGCCGTGTAGGCGTTGGATCCCCTGGAGGTAGCAAAGAATCAGACTCTGTGAAGGTTGTTAGAGGAGGTTAGCCATTCAAAGTTTGCTGTCGTTGAGATTCTTTGGTAGGATGTAAGTCATATGGTTATTGATTCATTAAGTGCTATGTTTGCAGTAAAAGTTGTTCCGGGGAGGACTCGGTCATTGGTTGAGAGATTTGAGAGAGGAGAAAAAGTTACTCCTTCTGAAGATAAAGCAGCCAGTGCAACAATAGTTCAGAGCACTAATGTTGAGGAGGAAATTCCCCAGACAACACTGATACCACCAGTTAGCACGACGCTTACTCAGGTAATGCCAGTTAAACCTGATCAGGCAACTAACGTGATGACAGTCGAAGCTCCTGTGGTATCAACACGACGAACTAGGAGTATTCCAGCCAGAGTAATGCCTGTGGTACTCGGTCGGGAGAGTAACATGAGAACTGATGCGCCTCCTGTAACATCAGCACGACCTGATAGAACTTCGGCTACTAATATGACAACTGATGAGTCTGGTGTAACATCAACACGGCAAGCAAGGTCTTCTCCAGCCCCAGTTATGCATGTGATACTCAATCAGACAACAAAAATGAAATCTGATGAGCCTCCTGCGACATCAACACGACCTGATCGGAGGTCGGCTACAAATTTGACATCTGAAGAGTCTCCTATGACATCAACACTACAAGCGGCTTCTCCAGCCCCAGTTACTCCTATGATACTCAATCGGAGTCGGTCCACTAACATGAAATCTGATGAGCCTCCTGTAATAACAAGAAGACCAGTTAGGACTTCTTCAGCGCGAGTAATGCCTGTGATACTTAATCAAGCAACGAACATTCATGATGAGCGTCCTGTACCATCAACACGATCAGCTAGGACCTCTCCAGCCCGAGTAATGCCTATGAAACCCAATCATGCAGATAATATGCCATCTTATGAGCCTCCAGTTGTATTAACACGATCAGCTAAGAACTCTCCCGCTCGTGCAATTCCCGTGAAACTCAATCAAGCAAATAATGTGACATCTGATGCATCTCATACAAGATCCAGGCAGCGATTTAGCCCAACTCAAACGCTGGCAACACCTGAGGTACTTGATCAGGTGACTGATATGACTCTGGATGAGGCACACATAACAGAAACTCAACCAGAATATGATATCTTGAGCCAGGTAAACTTCAGATGATAAGTTTGGGCAGCTAATAGATATTACTATCTTTATCTCTGAAATGTATCTTGTTCTATAATAAATCTTGTAGTCTTCGATGTTACAAAAATATATAAAATTGCGAGGATGACAAAGTTGGAAGAGATCTGTATACATAGCAAGTATTTAATTTATTGGGCTTGTGCAGAAGGAAGAGCCTCAGATATCTGGGAGGGAGAATGAAGGTGACATCAGTGAGACTTTAATGCAAACTCATAATGAGGTCTTAAATACTCTTCAATCAAGGTTGACAAAATTGCAGGTAAATTTAGCTCTCCTATTCGCTTTGTCATCATTTTCTCTTGTTCTTCTTTCCCTTCCATTTTTTGTTTTTTTTGTGTGTTTTGAGTGTGGATTAAGTCCTTATTATATCACAAACGTGCAGATTGTAAGACATTTTTGGGAGCGTAGGGATATTAAAGGCGCGATCACGGCCTTGAGAAAGCTGTCAGATCACTCTGTAAGTAGCCCAGAAAGATTACTTTTTCCTTTCTTTTCTTATGCTTAGATTTTTAGGAAAATCTGACTCACTTAAACCGGCGCAGGTTCAAGCAGATGTGATCAGTATTCTAACAGATAAAACAGAGATTCTAACATTGGATCTGTTTTCCGAATTAGCACCTGTCCTCACAGGCTTATTGGGCAGCAGGACTGAAAGGTAAATTATCTTATTCTATTTCTCCTTAGACTATGTTTGCTTTGAGTTTGAGATATAATTTCATTCAACAGAGGAAAGCAACAATGTCTTATCAGCAAAAATCACTTGTGCATTAATTTTTTTTGTGTGTGGCATAGGCCTATAAATGTCTCCTTGGAAATGCTCTTGAAGCTTGTAGCAGTGTTTGGTACAGTTGTACAGTCAACTGTTTCAGCACGACGAATGGTTGGCGTTGATCTTCATGCAGAAGAAAGGTAATTTCCGCTCCTCCTTTATCTTCATGCTATTCTCTATCGGAAAGTAAAACAAATTGAGAAAATGCAGGTTACAGATCTGCCAAAGTTGTTCTGCGGAATTGCAGAAGGTTCAGAAGATTCTTCCACTACTCACCAGGTAAATACAAGATCCTTAAAAACATCTAAAAATCTTAGTTCTGAATCATCAATGTCAAGTTCTTAAAAATGGAGAGTGTTCGGTTGTGTAATTTTGTTCCCTGTATTTTTCGCTCTCTTCCATCTGATTATAGAAGAGGAGGTCTCATAGGAAGAAAGGCTCAAGAACTAAACCTAGTTCTTCAGAGACCATAGCTCCAGTGTCAGATCGAAGACCACACTCAGAATCACTTGCAAACCCTAACCTCGCCCCGAGGTTTCCAATATGTATATTATCAAAAACTGTCTGCATGTTTCTTCCAGCGATTCTGCATCATCTGTTGTTTTGAAGATTCGCTGAGAAGTCGCAGTTTCTCGTGGCGGATTTTGCGATAGAATCGCCCGGGAAGAACACGGAAAACACTCCCACAAAAAAATCGGTATATGCTGTAAATCGACCTGTCCGTCTCTGGGATTGAAGTTGTAGTGATTCAGATTCTTGATTCAGATTCTTGATTCAGTGAATCTTTCAAGTGTTTAAGCTGAAATGGAAATGGAAATTACAGTCTCTCTCTCTCTATGTGAATGTAATGTGCAATCTAATGAGAAGATACATCGGTAAATGAATTTTTCATTTGGCAACCTACCTTTGGCCCTCTTGGCTTATATCTAATTTCAGGCTTGGTCATGTGGTGGAGAGGTCAGAGATTTGTTTATCTACCTGATGTGATATTGACACAATCTTATTATGAGTTTGCATTAAAGTCTCTCACTGATGTATACTACTTTTTGCTATTGGATATTTTTGGATTCAATTAATATGTCTCGCAATAATTATCCAGTCTAATAGAAAAAACATATATTAAGATCGGAAGAAACATATGTTAAAGATTAGAAGACTCCTATGAATTCTATTCTTAAATTCTTAAATCTAACAAAGTAACAATAATTATTTATGATTTGATGTTAGTTTGGTTATTGAATCAGAATCACCATTCCTAGTTAGGCTATTGATTAAGCCGAATGGACTAAATATATGTTTTCTTTTTAAGATGGAACTAGATTTTACTTCGTACATCCGCACGGAATTTTGTTTTAATCAAAATTTGTAATCTAATTTATGTTTTTGTTTAAAATATTATTTTTAAATAAGTGATATAAAAATAATTGTGTTTAAATATAATTGTTTTTTAATATTATTATGACCACCATGATCATAAAAACATATTTCTAATTTGTCTGTTTATAGTATTTTATAATATAAATATTTACTAATTTTGAAATAATTTTCTCCTAATATCTTGCATGATAACCTAACCCGTATAAGACCATAATTATAAAAAAACTTAATTTGTCTCATCAAATTATTATATAATATTAATATTTGTCTATTTTCAATATATGAAATTGTAATTTGATAGAATATGATTAAAAAAATATAATAAGATATTTGTTGATCGTATGTGTTATTCTGAAAATCTTATTTAAATTTCAAATGTTAAATTAAATCTAACCTATATTTAGGGAAGTTTATTTAAATTAATATCTATAGATTATAGATATAACTTATATTTAAGGAAAATTTTAGTTATCTAAATTAATATATAATTTTCGGAATTAAATTTATATATATATATATAAAAATATTTTTTAAAAAATTTTGAGAGTGTTTAGAAACGAACGCTTAAAGTGCTTCTGTTTTAATATAATAGATTATATGGAATTTTATATTCATTTTTGTTATATTGATGCGAGTTCATTACATGGACCATGAAACTATTATAAAGTTGTATCTATGAGCTAATTCTCATTTTAGTATTAGTTTAGATACTGGTTTTAAAAAAACACTATTTCCTAAATAAAATAGGAGATAAATGTTCTATAAGTTGTGGTAATGACGAAAAAAATCAAATTAAATAAATAAAAGATAGAATCTGTTAAATTAATTACTTTATTTAGGTAAAACAAAAAAACAAAGGCACACAAATCTAGTCTAAGTCTTCGTTCAAAAACAGACCATTCCTCCTTTGCCTTTTGAAAACAAAAAAAAAAAACAGAACCATCAATTTCTATTTTACAATCGTCGAACATAGACAGACTCTTCGTCAACCCTTTCTCTCCTACCTCATAAATTTTTTTTTCTTTCTATTTTTGAATTTAATTTAATTTTTGCTTTCCCAATTTCTGGTCGGAAAACCGTTTTTCGTGTAATTCATCTCCGACATCAACCCATTCGAGACGGCTTCTTTTTTTTTTTTCTTTTTTTCAAGTTTCTTGTCTTATCTTTACCAGGTAATTTTTTTTTTTTGGTTTTCTTTATTATTCCTTGTCTTGTCTCTGTCTCTGTTTTCGTCTTTTTTTTTTCCTTTCTGGAAAATCGAGTGGTCGGAGGAAAACGAAAGATTAGGTACTAAACGCGCTAACGTGCGCTGTGTCTGCGTAGTTTAATTTTTTTTAATTTAAAATCGAGGAGCGCGTAACGCACACGCGGCTTTGATTTGATGGTTATGATGATGACGATGACGACGACGACGAAGATGGCGAGTGATTGGGGAACATGGGAAGAGCTTCTTCTTGGCGGCGCTGTTCTCCGCCACGGAACCGGCGACTGGACCGTCGTCGCCGACGAGCTCCGTTCTCATTCTCTCCCCGAGATTTTGACACCTGAGGTTATTTTCCCCTCTCTCTCTCTCAATTTCTTCCTTTAATTTCAGAATCCATTTCGAAAAGTTCGATCAGATTATTTTTAGAAATCGAAAAAAAAAACAATTTCGTAGGTCATTTTGTTTTGTTGATTAAGCCTAAAATAACTCTGGAATTTAAAATTTAAAGACATGAGAAAAAGCTTTAAGGGTTAAAAACAGTGTTTCTTGTCGGTGGATTTAGAGCTTTTTTAGATTTATCACTTGTGTGTCAAGAAACGTTTAGTGTCCAGTAAAAAAATTTAGATTTCTTGTTCTCGTTAAACAACTAAAGATACTCTTCTGCTTCTCAATCTCGAATCCGAAGTTTCCTCTCAATAGAAATTAGAAAATTGAACTTCTTGGTTGTGAAATTGCAAGACTATCTCAGCTCAATAACTCAGAGTCATTGTTTCTCTTCTTGTCTTTGCTAAATCATACTCTTATTGCAGATATGTAAAGCCAAGTACAATGACTTGCGAGAACGTTATTTGGGATGCAAGTAATGATTTGATTAGTCTTTTCTACTTCTTCAACACACTTTTCTTGCCTGATATAGCGATTTACCAGTCATTTTTTCCATATGTTAATGTTCTTGTAGAGCTTGGTTTGAAGAGCTTAAGAAGAAACGAGTGGCTGAGCTTAAGTTAGCTTTACTTAAATCCGAAGACTCGATTGGGTTAGCACTTGTCTCTAATCACCAACTTCTTGCTAATTGTCTTTAACGTTTTCATGAAGAAACTGTTTTTGCAGGTCGTTGGAATCAAAGCTTCAGAGTCTGAAATCAGAAAGCAATGACGAAGAATGTCATCAAAACAATTATGACTCTAGCCGAACGTTATCACTCGAGCCTTCTCCAAAATCCGAAGGCGGAGGAGAATGCACGAGCAAAGACACATCCAAAGATTTGTCATCAGCTGGTAGTTTCACACAGCAAGAACTTACCACAACAAACTGGTCACCAGAAGCTCCAGCAATAACAATAGAGCAAGAAGAAAAGAAAACAAACGTATTACACAACGACATTTTCGAGTCTGTGTATGGAGTAGGAGGAGGAGGACAAGTGCTTCCTAATATGAGGAAGAAACGAGGCAAGAGAAAACGAAAAGGCTGCAGCATTGTGGAGGAAAGCGATGTCTTGGATTCTTCTCTGGATATTGCTAGTATTTCTAGGAGTAATAAAGAAGCTGCTTCTACTAGTAGCAGCCAAAGCCGAGGTCACGGATTGGCTTCACCAGAGGAGCTTATGAAGATATACAACTCTATTGCAGAGAACGAATGTGCACTCGTCTTCCGTAGAAGGCTTGATAGCCAGGTGATGATGATTCTATATAGTAATCTTTTAGTCTTTCTTGCTTATCTTGAAATCGCCATTTTTCGTCTAATATCTATTGTACTAAAACAGAAAAGGGGAAGATACAAGAAACTGGTCCGGAGGCATATGGATTTAGACACAATAAAATCAAGAATCAATGGTTGTTTGATAACTTCAGCGAAAGAGGTTTTCATGGAGTTTCTTCTGGTGGCAAACAATGCAGCCATTTTTTACTCTAAGAACACTCGTGAGCACAAATCCGGTGTGTCCCTTAGAGACATTGTCACCAAGTCTCTGAGACACTATCTGACAGAAGATCATCATCTTCATCGCAGCAGTAGCATTACTACAAGCACCACCAAAGTTCCGGTTCAACCTTCGACGTCTAAATCTCCTCCTGTCCGAACAAGCTTGGCAGCTAAAAAACCGAGAACCGGAACGCACCCTCTTAAGACGGTTGTGCAGGATATAGTGAAACCTTCAAGCGGAGGTAAAAGAACACCAGTTGCTAGTATGAAATCCTCGGCGGCGAGTAAGAAAGGAACGGTGGTTGAGAGAAGAAGAGACGGTAGACAAGTGAACCGAGGACTTGATTCTCCGGCATTGAAGGGGAGAAAGAGGAATCGAGTGAGATGATTTTGATCATTTGAAGTGTTTGTTTCCTTATGTTGTTGGTAGTTAGGCAGAGAAAAGACTTATCTGATCAGTGAAGTTCATAATATTGGGTCAATATGATCTGCAGGCATAGATACTCTTGATCACTGGTGAAACTAACTGTTTATAGAAAATGTACATCCCATAATCTTATCCGTTAAATTGTTAGAAAAAAGCATGAACCTTTTATATCGTAGTAATCTCACATTTTGCTTTGATTTACAACAAGAGCAACTTACACATCTGGCCCTCGTTAACAAAAAATTTGCATCTGTCGGAAAAAAAAGTTTTACATAACTTATCTTGAAAAAAAATTAGGAAAATATTTGTGTACTGAAACATTAAGAAAAACATTTGTTTAAATACAAGTAAACTTAGTTAAAGCATTTTACCCCAAAAAAACTTAGTTAATGCAACCCGTATCTGCAGCATAACGGGAGAGTTGGCATCTGTGTGGAAAATGCAAAATCCTTCTCACTTTATCAATTAAGAAAGTTCAGTGAAACATGACTTTCGTCATAACATCGATGAAACTGCCTGATTAAGCACCCTTCCTTGCTTCTCTTCAACTTATGGTCTTATCTAAGCCTCACGTGAAGAGAGTCTTTGAACTGGTAGATGAAGTGAATATTTGTTGACCCAAATAGGGTAAGCCGTTGATATCAGTCAGCATTGCATTCCTCCAAATTCATAAGTATTTGTTGTTAGCACTCAAGGGGCTAGGCCGTCTAGCAAACTTAAAGATTTTAGAACATTTCTACATGGGTGTCATAGTCAATTTCCACCGACAATGTGAGGAGTTATATGGACACATAAGTGTATAAAAAGTTCAAAGGGGAAGAGTCAAATTCTGTTAACTGTTATTCTGAAACAGAGAATAACTTTCTTCTACGTTGGATATTTTTTTTAAAGAGTAAACCTTTTGATTTAATTTAATCTCGTAAGAAAAAATCATTCTTCAATCATCCTACTTTTGATTTCAGGTTGCCTGCCATGAGTTTACTAAAGAAGCAATTGATATTAAGTGGGAAAAGTTGGTAGTAGGACAAGTTCGAAATCAATATAGGCACCGATAACAACAAAGATTTAAACTTCATCACAGTTGATCTTATAATCATCCATTTATTCATAAGAAAAGACAACACCAAAACTATATTGAAAAGAATTAGTAATGGTATTTAATTTTTTTGTCTATTCCGAAGAAATTAAGGCAACATTCTAAATTTGGATTATATTCTAATTAGGGCAATTGTTTTGGTTTGGGTTTTCAACTAAATCAGTATTGTTTTACATATACAAGTTTAACTTTTGTAACCACTTGACTAATGCCCGGTCTAGTTTATGAATACAAATTATATTTAAAATCTTTTGTAACCATTTTGTCTCCTTTTACATTGCAAGCATCTATATATTGTGGTTTGTTTTCTGTTGAAGATTGATAAAGCTCCAAGTCTCAAGTATTTGAACATACAAGGGAAGATGAAAGGTCTTACAACTTTGTAAATGTTCAAAGTTGGTGAATTTTTGGTTTCCATGAGTGACAGTAGCAAATCATTGGGTCTCGTCCTAAGATATACTGAGTCAAACTTTCAAAATATTTGGAAGGCTGCCTAATCTTGAAATGTTTGTCGGACAGTTTTGTTTCAATGAGGTAAATTCTCATCAATCCATCTTTAACACGTGTGTAGCAATCTAAATTAATCTCATTGACTTCTTTTTCTCTCTCTCTTAGTATTTGAGCGTAGATCATGCACAAAGAACACTTCCTACTTTCAACCATTTGAAGATCATTTCTCTCGAACTGAAGTTTGTGAAAGCTGATGAGGTTCTTACTGTTTTTAACGTCATGGTTAATGCTCCGAACTGATCGAGCTTCACCTCAAGGTATGCGTTTCCACAATTTTTTTTCTTGTTTGTTTGTCTATTTCTCTGTTTTTGCAAACCTGACATTTGGATTTTGTATAGGCTTTACATCTTCATCCCCCTGCCATTAGTGAAGGAGACGTGCAATTCTCTGATGGTAGTTTGTGCAAGCTTGCAACAGTGGAGTTGACAAACACTGGTGGTGTCAAGAACGAGCTGAAACTGATCAAATTCATCCTGGAAATGTCACTGGAGCTGAAGCGTGTCTCCATCATGGCGGCATCACACCGAGAGAGCCCTACATGGAGGAGAACAAGGTGATGTTACTCAACCTATTGGAGTTTAGGAGTGTGTCTCCAAATTTTTCCACGTTTAGTAGTAGCTCCTTAAAAGCTGTTGGAGTTGAGATTGCATCTAGTCAAAATTCTGAATCCTTTGATTTTGTTAGTTTCATATTAAATATTTGGGATGTAGAGAAAACAAACAAAATGTAAACTCTTTATAGTTGAAAACAAAGACATATGTCCTACATGAACCACAAACGAAGCATGCTTACATCATTTATTTTTTATATTTGCATTAGCTATAAATATTTTACATCACTTATAGAAGTAACTCTGAAGTAACTCTGAAAGTGGTGATGCCAATATTTATATCAGTTGTACAGATATTTTTCATCACTTAAGCAACTGATGCCAATATTTATATCAGTTGTACAAATATTTTCCATCACTTAAGCATGTAAATATTTACATCAATTATTGTAATCGATGTTAATTTGTGTTGATAGCAAAACATGATGTCAAAAGTTGACATTAATTAATATAAGTAATGCTAATGTTATATTATAATTATCAACTTTAATATATATATATATAATATTTTTATAAATTATTTTAATATTAATTTATAAATTATTTCATAAATAATTTTAATATTCATAAATAATTTTAATATTTTATATATGATAACATATCAATATTGATATTTAGAGCCTGTAGATAAATTACAGATATTTATAAGAAATCGAATTTCTCATCTCCTCTCTTAGTTGTTGATGTAGGACAAACATCAAGAATAATAAAAAATTATTATTATCATTTTTATTAATGTAATATTTCTATCATTTTTTAAATGATGTTAAGAAAAATATATAGTTACATCAATTATTTAAGTGATGTGCAATTAGATTTTTGTATCATTTTCATAAAATGATCTAAATTAATAAAATTTTGTATCATTTATTATTGAATCGATATTAAATTAACTAATAGTAGAATCACTTACATAACTGATGTTAAATTACTTATTTTATATATCAATTATTAAGAAGTGATTCAAAATAGTATCATTTACTTTTATGATATAATATAAGTGATGTAATACACACTTTGTTTTTTAATGACATGTCAGTGAATTGTGTTTGATTTGATGATATAATGGTGCCATGGTGGAGATGTTTGATTTTAAGTCGATTTTTTTTCTCTCTAGTTTTTTTTTTTCATTTTAATCTGTTTTATAAAGTTTGAATGTTTAAACCAAATATATAGTTGAATAGTTGAATGTTTAAACCGAATAATTGTACCTCGGTTTGGTAACAGTGTGGCATCTTTCCATTAAGCTCAAAGTTTCAGGTGTATAAACTCTGGTTGGTTGCAACCTCCTAAACTCAGACTCATATCTAGAGGATCCTTACAAGCTAGCTAGTTCAAAGGCATATGATCACAAACAAAGAGCCATAAACAACATCGGTTAAATCTTGTGTGTAAGCTCCTTGAGCAACATAGTCTCTATCCAAAACAATTTCTCAGATTCAAGTTAAAAATCCAAGAGACTGATCATGATTAAATAATACTTGTACATAGTTCCAAAGCAAAGAAAACATTCAACTATATACTTTTACTTTTCACTGCTCTTTATATTCCTTGAATTGTGAAGAGCAAATTACAGAAATCGTGAGCAGCAGTCAAAAAAACCTATCAGTCATGGAGAAGTAGCTACGGTAGTAGAAAACCCACATGGCCACATCTATATTTCATATTTGTTGACAAAAAATATCTATATTTCATACATTGGAAACATATATATTTCATATATCTTATCATATTTTGTCGTTTTTCTTCCAAACTCATATATTTATATGTATCCTGCCCGTAATCCACATATAGAATAACCATTGAATGACATCTATGCAGATTGAGACATCCATACAAATTGAGTCATCCATGCAGATTGAATCATTTAATTTCTGTCTTTTATCTCTTAGAGGTTAATTTGCAAGGATGTCTCTCGTGAATATTTTGTTTATGATCATTTTTTGATAATGTTTAAATTTTAATTAGCTAAACATGTAATTCGAATACTGAAGATTCTATTATGAGAGCTCACGACAAACAGTGATATATGGTAAAAAAGGCTTCGAAAGTATTAAAAACCCTCCTAGAATCTGAAGGGATACTCTGGACTTGTACTTGTGATGCGTTCTTTTTTCCCTAATAAGTTTATATCACATGTTGCAGTCACAGATGCACAACACAACTGAATTTCATGTAACAAAAAAACCAATCAACCAGCTCAAACACATGTAAGAGTTGTAGCAAGAAGAACGCGCTTATGTGGTTACTATGTATGTGGTTACAATACGAAAACACTAACACAGGCCTATGAGCCTATCCCGATTTTATGGATTGGTTCATTTATCCGGTTTATACTATTATAATAAACAAAAAACACAAAACCAAAATTAAATATATGCAAAAATTTGGTCAAAAAATTATTGTTTGTTACGTAGTTGTTACGATATCTCAATCCCAAGCAAAATATGGTTACTCCAGTTTATAAGTCATGAACCAACCGGTTAGGAAGGAGACAGAAAAAATAACAAACCGATTAGGAAGGATTTAACCAATCTGTAGACAAAAATTGAAAATAAAGCCAATTGAAATGGAGTTAGGCCAAATAAGTCATGTTCTAGTTGAACAACTCGAGAAGTAGAAAGCTTTATGGTGCATTGGAGTAGCTTTAGGAACAAACCACAGACACTTGTGTTCTGTCTCTCATTGAAGTTGTTAAATAATTGAGGAAACGCAAAACATGGAAAATATTGTTTTCATTTTGTTTAATATAAATGCATTATAGTATATAATCCAAATTCCTCCAAATCTCTCTCACCAGAATCCAACTCTCAAAATATGATTATTAATTAATTTATTTTCTCTTATAAATAATTTAAAGGAGAGAGAGAAAGAGATTCACTAGATGACACGAGTCACTCCACCAAAGCTTTTTCTTTTTTGTTGATGGGTTTGGTTAAGGATCGATTCTAGATATTTGTTCTTGCAAAAATCCCAGTTTAAAAGTCAAGACTCTCTCTCTCTCTAAAGCTATCTGCTTAGTGCCATTACAGTGATTCAGCAATCTGCAAGCTTCAGATTTATCTTTAAGGTTTTTCTTCCGATTCCTTTTTTTGTTCTTAAATTCGAAATTCTCTGTTTATTTTTTCTTTTCTTCAATTCTGTTTCTTTTTTTTTTGTGTCTTTGTCCTAATGTTGTTGTCTCCTGTAATTAAAGATCCCATCTTTGAAATTAAATGCACCGCCTTTAATTTTTTTTTTTTTGGTGATTTGTTGAACCAAATTTCTTCATAGATGGCTAGATAGAAGCTTTGATGATTATTTTAGCTGTTTATTAATAGATAATTAATGTGTAAACAGAGCAACCTTTTTGAAAGAAAAAAAAAATTCTTTGCCCATAATCATCAGTTTTATGTTTATTTACTTCCCTTAGATCTGGAAAAAATTCAAGAAAATTACAATAATCCATTAAAAACGCTTTGTTTCTATTCGATTCTTTAGCCGTTTCGCTTTCGCAGTGGCCCAGATTGTTCGTCAGTTTCTGTGAGAGTGAGTAAAATGTGAAAGGGCAATCTCTGTTTGTTTCTTAAGCTGTTATCTTCTCATGATCTTGAAAAATATCTCCCATTTATGCATTTCTAGAAAATTTTCTAAGATTATTTGCTTTACATGCTAAAAAAAAGGTTTCGATTTTTAGTTGCCTATTTTGGTATCTGAAGCCTCTGATTCTGATTATCTGTGTTTCGTTCACTTTGTAATGTGGGTTCTTGTGTAGATTTTCAGACAGATTACCTTCTTGCATGTGCCCAGATCAACCTATAGATAACTGAGATTTGGTGTCCGAATTGATTTCTTTGCTCTCTGTTCTTGTGGAGAGAGCCTTTCATTTTCTCCTTGTGAAAGAGAAAACGAGAACGGTGGCTCTGGTGAGTTTTCTAACTGCTGGAAACTTTGTAATGTCTTTGTTTTTGTATGGAAAATTACTAAATTTTGCTTGTGTGTGTTGCTTTTTGTAGCTCGGTGAATAGATTATGGAACATGATTTACCGTCTATTAAATCATGGAAGTCACTTGTTAAGAGAAGAAACAACGCTCAAGAAGGGGTAAGGCTTCTTCTTCTTTTTTTCTCCCTAGATCTTGGCTTTATGATGATTCCCGGGTTTACAAGCCGTTTTAGACTTATGATTTGATGTGGGAATGTTGGAAATAATTTCCAGGGTAAATCGTCGTGGAAAATGAAACCGGTTATGGCGCTCATGTGTACAGTTCTATTGATCTTTTGGTATAAGACCACAAATATCCAGTATCAACAGACAGAGGTATAGTGGAAGAGATCATTTTGGTTTCTTACAAGCAAGATCTCATCGAAAGGAAGTTTTTTTTTTTTCTCTTTTGATATAATAATTAACTCTCATTTCCTTTGGTATCCGCATTGCTCAGCTAGAAGAAACAGATTATCCCTTTGAGATGGCAAAGGTAACATTTTTTACACCATTCTCTTTGTTTCTAATGTTGATGCATGGCCGGTTTAAAGTTGATGTGTGGGTTTCTTATTACAATGGCGATTCTTGTTCAGGAATCTGAACCGGTGAGTGAAAAGTTGAAAGGTTTACCTTTTGGTATCATACAGCCTAGATCAGATTTGGAGTTAAAGCCACTTTGGTCAAGTAGTAGTTTGAGGTCAAAGGTTAGATTTTTTTGCTTTAAACTTCACTTAGCTAGAGTAATCAAAATATATTTTTTGCTAGAGGAATTCCTGATATCTGTTGTTGTCTGTAAACAGGGAGGCGAATTGACAAACCGTAACTTGTTGGCAATCCCCGTAGGACTTAAGCAAAAGGATAACGTCGATGCTATTGTAAAGAAGGTGGTGTAGTGTGTCTGTGAATTAGTGGATTAGTAAATACATCAATGATCGAGAAAAGTTTCTCTTTCTAATGGTAGTTTGTTTGCTGTATATTCAGTTTCTTCCGGCGAATTTCACTGTTATTCTGTTTCATTATGATGGAAACATGGATCAATGGTGGGATTTGGAGTGGAGCTCAAAAGCCATACACATAGTTGCACATAACCAGACAAAATGGTATAGTGCTAAGTATGGTAGAATCTTGTGTATGTCTATTTCATGTTCATAGTCTAACAATGGTTTCTTGAACAAAATTTGATTTTACTCAGGTGGTTTGCAAAACGGTTTCTCCATCCTGATATTGTCTCCATTTACGATTATGTTTTTCTTTGGGACGAAGATCTTGGAGTGGAGAATTTCAACCCGCAAAAGTAAAACTCTATTTACCACTTCACTTGTAAATTTACAACTCATAAAGGTAAAATCTTGGTTACTAAACACACTCAATCTGCAGATACCTGAGGATAGTTAAATCAGCAGGACTTGAGATATCTCAACCGGCCTTGCACCCAAATTCAACCGAAGTTCACCATCGAATTACAGTCCGATCTAGAACGAAGATTTTTCATAGGTTAGTTCATGCCAAAACACTTTTTTTAGGAGTTCTTCTTGATAACTTGTATTACTTACACAAAATGGTTACAAAACTGCAGAAGAGTTTACGACAGTAGAGGCAATATGAAGTGCTCAAATGCTAGTGAAGGACCTCCATGCACCGGGTAATATATTTGATTAACATAACTATTTAAGTCTTATATATACCAAAAGACAGAGTTTTAGTTTGCTGCTATACGGTTACTCCTACCTTCGTAATATTAATGTCATTGCTTGTCTATGGTTTCTCTGTTTTTCCAGATTTGTTGAAGGAATGGCTCCAGTGTTTTCGAGATCTGCGTGGTTTTGCACTTGGAATCTAATACAAGTAAGATGATCTGTTCATCTACTTCTACAAAAGTTTACTTCTAATGAAATTGCATCCAACTTATTGTTTGATTATCTTGCGGTTTACAGAATGATCTGGTTCATGGGTGGGGAATGGATATGAAACTTGGTTACTGTGCACAGGTAAAATCTGTTTCCTTTTTTAAAGAATCTTGCAAACATCTTATGCCTAATTGCATTCTCTCTATAGATGAGTCGGTTTTTGAAAATGTCGTTATAGGGTGCCCGTAGCAAGAAAGTTGGCATTGTTGACAGTGAATACATCTTCCATCAAGGCATTCAAACTCTAGGTGGAAGTGGTTATCCCGAGAAGAAGGTAAGATCCTATACTTCACATATTTCATTTCGTTGTAAATGCAAAAACTTGAAAATGAAATGATCTTTTCATTATTTCCACAGAACTCAGCTCGCAGTGGAGTCACTAGGGTAAGCTATTATACCATCCAAACTCACATTTCTTGACTTTAGTAGAAAAAACAGAAATTTCACAACTTTGTTCTGATATTTTGGTCATTTTCGTTTTATACAGAGACGTGGTTCTGCGACCTTTGATTCAAGAACAGAGGTGAGTTGTTATTACTCGATGAGTATGCTTTTGTCTTTGGAGCATTAGTGTGTAACTTGTGTGTTTTGTGAGCAGATACGGAGGCAGTCAACATGGGAGCTACAAACATTTAAAGAACGATGGAATCGAGCGGTTGAAGAAGACAAGAACTGGATCGACCGGTCTTCATCAACTCGGAACCGGATTGGCAATAACCGGAGATTAAAGCGGAGTAGTGTGATTTCAAGTTTAGTGCAGAGGAAAGCTGAAGAGACTACTAAATAAACACATACTGATTAAATATAGCAAAAGGTTTTGTCTCATTGTTTATATTTGATTTGATAGTTAATCCACACTACTCTCTTTGATTAGTGTAGATTTTATTTTCTTATTTAGATGTGGTTCAGAGCCTCTCCATATTTCATTAATTCCACATCTTTGAGCATAATTTTTCAAAAGGAAATTTGGGTACATATTATATTGGATTTTTCATTAAATTGGGTACATTACATATCACGATTGCCTATCATTCTTTTTTTTACCCTCTACAAACAGCTTTTTTGTTTTTTAGATATAAAGTGGTGGTAACAACATCACACTAAATGTTCTCCTCCATCATTTTCACATAATTAAAATGAATTAAAATAAGGTTTTCCTGAATTGCCGAATCAAACATGAGCAATTTTTGGCATTTTTTTAAATTGTAAATTGAATATTTTTTGTTTGTGTCGTAGATGATGGGGATACTTTTCAAACATTCTTAGAAGTAGACAAGATCATTGACCAAAGGACCATTTCCTATATATATACCTCTCTCTCTCTAGAAATTTCAAATTATTAGAAAGTTAAGAGTCGTTAAATATTAATTAGTTAAAAAGTTTAATATATATTTTTGTTTCTGATGACATTATATTTTAATAGATCGACTGATTTTACAACTAATAAATAAGTGTAAAGTACTAGAGAGGATTAAGAATAAAATTTAGTCAGATAATTGGTATTTTAAAAATATAAACAAAAATATATAAATTAGACAAACAAACGAAATAAATATAAGACACGCTTTCGTGTATATATGTGTATATATAAATTCTTCTCTTCAACGTTCGGCTATTTCTCGGTCCGTGCTAAGATCTTAGATCGATTTCAAGTCATCGTCTTCTTCTTCTTCTTCTGATATTAAGCTCGTTCAATCTTCTGACTTCTGAAGCTGTAATCTTCTTTAACCATGGCTAATCGCTATGATCCGAATCCTTTCGCTGAGGAAGAAGAAGTCAATCCTTTCGCTGTAAGTTTTCTTTACTTTCGATTAACTAGTAAATCCGTAGGGATTAATCGCTCTCCAATCTAGCTTCTCGTGGGTCTTCGAATTTTTGTTGATTAATTGACTTTTAGGGTTTATTTGGGGGAAATCTATTTTCCTCTGTACTGGTCTTTGTTGTTGAGTTTTATATATATCCACTGGTTTGTTGCTTAGGACCTGAAAATGAGAAAAATTGAGACTTTATCAGAGATTGCAATTCAAGTGTTGTTAAAGTTTCTAGCTTTCTTATTTCTCAAACTTTGGTTTTAAACAGTTGTATTTCTTATTTATTGATCAGTCTGGGTTATTCCACTAATGAATTCTGAAGCAAGAAAAGTTTGTTTTTTGGTTTCTTTTCTTAACTTATTTTGTAATGCCTTGTTAAATTTCAAATACGTTGTATAGAACCCTGGGAGTATTCCACCGGCATCGAATTCAAGACTTTCGCCTTTGCCTCCAGAGCCTGTTGGTTTCAGTTATGGTCGCACCGTAGACATTCCTCTTGATGGTGGAAGATCCGGTACACAGGTTGGTTATAGAGATAATGGAGTTGATTTTTATACATGTAGCTTGTGATTAGGTGGATCTTGAGATAAGTTATGATAAACAATCTTTTCTTGTTTAATTCTTGGGAATACAGGATTTGAAGAAGAAAGAGAAGGAACTCCAAGCCAAAGAAGCTGAGCTAAGACGAAGGGAGCAGGTAGTTAATAATAAAGCTTAAACTTATGCACTATGAGAATATTGTGGATATTACTAAACCGTGTATTTGGTACTGGTTTGTGCCTTCACCTTGATTTGAGACCTTGACTCTTGTTTTGAAAGTTTAAAGTCTTTTTAGATAGCTATTGGCATGTTGTTTTATATGTGCACACTTGATTAACCTTTGAAGTGTCGTTGTTGTTCATTTGAATGCTTTATTTTGGTTCTATGTAGGAACTCAAACGGAAAGAAGATGCTGCTGCACGAGGTAGAGCAATTTACTCTTGTCAAGATATTCTTTCCAAGCTGTCTCCTAGAGGATTATGAATGTTTTCTTATTTCAAAATCTTGAATTCTACGGCTCTCTCTCTATGCAGCTGGAGTTGTTATTGAAGTGAAAAACTGGCCGCCATTCTTCCCGCTTATCCACCATGACATTGCAAATGAAATTCCTGTTCATCTCCAAAGGCTTCAGTATGTTACCTTTGCAACATATTTGGGTACGCATTCTGTTGTCCTACTTTTATCAATTTATTTATATAATATAAGTACTTTTCTTTCCTGCGTTATCAAGCATGAGATCTTTATTCTTCACTGATCTTATTCATTAGATTGATACGTTTTAGATGTGGTTCTTGTACCGCAGGGTTGGTTGTTTGTCTTTTCTGGAATATTATTGCGGTTACTACAGCTTGGATCAAAGGAGAAGGTTTTGTTTCTTAACTCTATCTCAAGTTTCCTCGTTCTTCTCTTGGAGACCTTTACTGCATATTTTAACAGACTTAATAAGTTTGGTGTAATTTTGTTCAGGAGTGACAATATGGCTTCTTGCCCTTATTTACTTCATAGCTGGTGTTCCAGGAGGCTATGTGTTATGGTATCGGCCCCTCTACCGTGCCTTCAGGTTTGTGAGTTTCTCACTTTCGAAGTCTAGATTTTTGTTACTATGTGACTGAGTTTTTGTTCACATTTTTGTTGAATGTTTGCAGAACTGATAGTGCATTGAGCTTTGGAGGATTTTTCGTGTTCTATATGGTGAGCAAAGATTAGCTTTTATGATTGTTAACATTATTACTCGGTGTGAAAGCCAATTCTGAAGCCTTATTCTCGCTGCAGCTCCACATTCTGTTCTGTGTCTTTGCTGCTGTTGCTCCACCTGTTGTCTTCAAAGGAAAATCTCTGGCGTAAGTTTTTTCGATTTTTCTTAACATTCGAAGTTGATGTTGTCACTGCTTTTGGTAATTCGAGTATCATTCTGGTTGCATAAGCAGTTGTTAGCCATTGTTCTTGACAAATTATTTGTCTTGCATGTAACAGTGGGATCTTACCTGCAATAGATGTCTTAAGCGGTAACACATTGGTCGGGGTAAGCTCTCTCACCCTTTGATGATCAAAACAATTCTAAGATAAAAAGCCTGTAGCTTGATCTTTATCGTTATCGATCATATGGATCTTATTTTGTTCTGTTTACAGATATTCTACTTCATTGGGTTTGCGTTCTTCTGCCTCGAATCAGTGGTCAGCATCTGGGTTATTCAGGTCTCTCTCTCTTCAACTCCCCTTACTATATTGAACATAGTGTGTATAGTCTCAATCTCAAATCGTTTTTTCTAACATTTGATTTTGGGATGGATTCGTTTTTTTTTGTTTGAGCAGCAAGTGTATATGTACTTCCGAGGCAGCGGGAAACAAGATCAGATGAGACGAGAAGCGGCGAGAGGAGCCCTGAGAGCCGCCGTATAAGAGCTCCCTGTTACATTCTGGTTTGTATGTATTCTTTACTGTTTCTTTGTTTATTTCAGATTTTGTCTTCACTTCTCTCTCTCTCTCCCTTCTCTCTGCTTTGCTCTGTAAGCAAGAAAGATTCAATTTTTTCTCTGTACCTTTATCTCATGTAAATCTGTTTGTTCAAAAGTCGAGAGTTGAGATTCATACCATTTTCGAATTCATTCATGGATTGTTTAATCTTTCGAAGAACCCATCTTAAACCAGCACTATTATCTTTCGACATTTGTGTTACGATATTCTGATGGCTATATAATATATCTTGGATTAGTCAGTGTTTCGGTTTTCAAATATGATTGTATTGGATAATTCCTTGTATTTAAGAAAACTGCAGTTCGCATACATTTTCAAATAATTTTCTATATCAAATGCTCACACATTATATGCAGAGATAACAGTAGTAAAAAGTTTCAGCCAGATTTTCTACGGTAGTCTTAATCATAGATTCATAGTTAGTTTGGATGTTTCAACTGGTAAGAATATTCGACTGTTTTCGCAGAACATGGACACTACATTGTATGTTACTTAGCGTGGAATGTTCTCAAAAGTGAAATAATTGTTGTCACCATTGATGTACAGTTAATAATATTGTTAAAAAAAAAGAGTATTAGGGCATCTCTAACCTTGAACCCCTCTTTAGGGTTCATAAGGATTTTTTTTTTTTAATAGTGATGAACTTCATGTTTTTTTTCACCTCCAATCCAGAATTTTATTAGGGATTCTTAGAAAAAAAATATAATATTTTATAAATTATTATTTGTAATTTAAATTTACTTGGGAAGTAATTTTAAACAGACTATATTACATAAAACTAAATTTATATAGTATTTCATAATTTTTAAAATACAAAATATAGAAATTTGAGTAAAAAACATATTCTAAATCAATAGTACTTCTTCTTTGTTAACCACAAAAATATCACCAAACCAATAGTAAATCTTTCTTTTATTATTGACAAAATTAGGTACAGTAATCATTTCTAACGTTTTTATTGATTAATTGTAAAGTGTAGGAACATAAACGTAAGGAAGGCGTTCAAACTGATTAGTATTAAATTATGCATGTTTTATTAAACTCAATTAAAATACGGTAACGAAAAAAAAAAACAGATAACCCGGAATCAAAAAACCGAACCAAAAACTAATGGGTTCGTTTTTTGTTTTATATGAGCTCTATTTGTATACTTATTTGTGTACTGATTTATTTAAGTGTTGCGCTTACGGTGAGTTTCAAAGTCTTTTGCTTATGTGTCAGTTGCATAATGAGTTTCGGTAGCAAAAAGATCGTTTAGCCCATTTTATAACTACGTGTCATTTTTTTTATTAGATCTTATCTGATGATGATGTGTAAAAAAAAAAACTTAAAACAAACCAGTCTTAATTACTATAATTTAATGCTTAATTTCATAGTCAATCAAACCGTTTGTAAATTATATTAAACCGAAATTTTTAAAAAAACTAGATAAAAACGTTTTTTTTAAATAGAAATTTACCGTTTTCTATGTTTCCGAAATTTTTTAAAAAAAAATCTAATTAAAATATGAAAAGAAATAAAAATTGGAATAAAATTTAAAATGTTGTTTCAAAACAAAAAAAACCAAATTTATGCTAGAATATCGCTAATTATTATAGTGTTTACGATTTCTTATGTTTATAGGATTTTTTATTTTTATAATTTTATAAAACTAAAATTTATTAAAAATCTAAGAAAAAATTTAAAAAAAACAATAAAAATGTATATGTCTAATGAAATATCGTTAATTATATTATGGTATCTAGAATAGAATTTTTTATTTCTTATCTATATACTTCAAAAAAAAAATTTAACCATTTTGTTAAAATCAAAAGTTTATTTGTAAATTTCATATTCGTCTAACTTAGAACAGAGATTAAAAAAAAAATTAATGTTCTTAAAATCATTTCTTTATAAAATTACACTTAGTAGACATATATAGCATACGCGAGGCGTGGACAAATTAACTAGTTATTTTTAATTTGGTTATTATTTTGGGTTTGGGTTTCCTGATGCAAACATATTTTGTTTTCACATAAACTCTAGGATCCATATTGCTTTGGCTTGCGTATATGCCTTATTGAAATTTGCTAGTTTGATGATTCAAAATAGTCGTCCAAGTTTAGTTTGTTAAATCAAGTAGAGTGTTTATTCAGCTTAACATGTGTGTGGCAATCTAAATAATCTTTTTGATTTCTCTAGTATTTGAGCTCAAATAATTAGAGACTCCACATCCTATTTCGTTGAACTTGAAGTTTGTAAAAGATTAGGAGCTTATTGTTTTCAGCTCATAGTTAATGGTCCAAATCTCCAGGAGCTTAGCCTTGCAGTATGCTTTTCTCTCTATCTTTTTTGTCTATTTCTCTCTTTGTGCAATCTCAATACACATTGCTGGTGGTAAAAACGAGTTTCATCTCATCAAATTCCTCCTTGGATACTCGCCATACGTGATAATGGTGAAGGGTATAGTTAGGATGTTTTAGTTAATGAATTATTGTATTTTCTTTATGAATTAGGTTTTGATATTTTTCTTTCTGTGTTAGAGTGTTTTCTTTTTTGCATTTAATATTATAATTTAAGTTGTATCAAGGCCTATATAAGAGTCTTTATTGATTCATGAGAAGACAACTTCCAAAAATTAACCTTAATTTCTAAAAAATACTAGGATTGAAAGAAAAGTTTAACCTAAATCTTCTCTCAAATTCTTACTTGAACTAAGGTTCATATCAATTTGGTATCAAAGTCGAACGTTTCGATGGCAGACATGGATTTTGTGATGTCACAACTGACCAAAATCGTGCAAGCAATGGACGACATGAAACGAGAGTTGAAGCAGGAGATCAACGACAGATTGGCCCCAGTCCATTCAACATTAGCAACGATAGAAACAGCCACAACAACTCAAAGAAGAGGTAGCTGAGATTCGCAAAGAACAAGCACCCTTGCGGGAAAAATTTTTGGCAGCACAAACAACACTAATCTAGAAACCAGAGGAGCTCTCTGCGTCTGGAAAACAGAGTGGATCTACTGGTGTTCACGGAATAGTAAAGGAGAAAGGTGATCATTTCACACCAGAGAAGAAGGGCAACGGTTTACCTATTGGACTGTTAGACCAATAGGAGCTCCACCACACAAAGTTTATTCCAACTATGCACTTGGAGACTTTCACGAGCGAGAAGAAATCATAGGGGGCTATTTTGGTGGTTCCAATGGGTGTGTAATATCACCATCAAAGATAGAACTCCCTACATATGATGGTACCAAAAATGCAGTTGAAGGGTTTCAAAAATGTGAAGATTACTTTATTGATCAGAAGGTGTTCAATGATGATGCTAAGGTGCGACAAGTAACATTTCTCCTCACAGGCGAAAGTGTATCATTGGCAGAGCAATCTACGACGTTTGGTTACACACAGGTTAGGATGGGAAGAATTCAAGAAAATCTGCAAAAGCCATTTTGGAAAAGCAGATATGGTGAATCCGGTGGTAGAGTTGTCTAACTTACGACACACGAGAACAGTTAATGAATATTGTAATCAATTTGAGGAGTATCTTGGTCATCAAACAAAATTTCGAGAGATCAGCAGTTATGGCAATTCTGTGCAGATTTAACTGATAGTTTTAAGAAAAGATCTACGTCCCGAAATGATTTTTGAAGCAATGGAGTATGCTCGGGATAATGAATACAATATTGATAGTGATAAACGGGTACGGATGTTTGGAGGACATATGGCTCCACTAGCTATACACTTAGTCCAAAAAAATTGGTCACAAATGCTAGAGAACAAAAGACACGAGAAGGAAGTGCCTCTGCCTCAACAAGAGGAAGCAATACATACTCCAAAAAAGCATTACTGGAAGAAGTTGACCACAGTGGATATGACAGAGTGACAAGCAAAAGGATTTTGTTTCAACTGCGATGAGCTCTTCACGCGAGATCATTTAATCCGGTCCTTTGCTACATAATGCCAGTCATGGACAGAGACCAAGAAGACGGACCGTTTGAAGAAGAAAACTTTGTGGAATATGTATGAGGACGCAGAGAAGCTGGCTAGAGGCTAGAGGAATATCCAGAACTGGAGTTTGAGGACAAGCTCCTAGTCAAGGAGGATAGTAATGATACAATATATGGATTTAGAATAAGAGTATATTATTTTCCTTTTTCACAATTGATTTTCATGTTTTCTTTTTTCAATTAGGTTTAAGTGTTTTACTTTTAGATTTAAGTTGTATTAAGGCCTATATAAAGGTTTTTATTGATTAATGAGAAGATATCTTTTAAGAATTGACATTCATCTCTAAGAGAGACTAGGGTTAAGAAGAAAGCTTAGCCTAAATCATCTATCATATTCTTACTTAAATTAAGGTTCATATCAATTTGGTACCAGAGCCAAACGAACGTTTTAATGGGAGACCTAAATTCCAATTTTGGTATTAGAGTCAGAACGATACAATGGCTGATCCATTGACATCCCCTGAACATGTGTTCTAAGTTTTTTTGTATCAATAGATGAAATGTTTTGTATGTTTTTTTTTTTCTTACTCTTTTATATCAATCTGATCTGATATGTTTCATCCATTTTAAATCCAATCTAAAATCATAGATAAATTTAGATATACTCCCTCTATTTCACAAAGAATGTCATGTTGACGCATTTTATACAAATTAAAAAAAATTAGCAAAAGTTCTAAACTACCATTTATTAATACATACAACAATTTTTTCTTTCTAATTAATATACTAAAAACAAGGTTAAATTGGATTTTTTATTTAATATTTTGCATTATAAATACAAAGTGACATTCTTTGTAAAACAAACTTAAATTTCTAAAATGACAATTTTTGTTAAACATAGGGAGTATCATTTATGGGAAAACGACGTATTTCAGTAAGCTTCTCCCTAAATCCAAACGACCTTTGGTTGTCAATTTCCATGAAAGCTGGAATCGGCGTGATGAATTGGAAGCTTGGAATGATGTGTTTCTTCAAAGCAAACGTGACCGTGGTTCCAATAACCGTCGCCGGGTTCCGCTAAGAAGACATCATTATCCAAATCAAAACATGAGCAAATATTGAATCCCATGAATTTTAACTGTTTCTTGTGATTCATTATTTCCCATCTTCATGCCTCATTCTCGCCGCTTCTCCTCTCACGGTCTCTCCCTTGGTCTCATAAGCTCACAATCCCCTTGTTAATCTTTGATTTCTTCTTCTTTTCTCTTCTTAGCTTATATTTATAATCTCTGGGTTGGGCAGCAAACAAATGGAGAAAACAACAAAGAAATTAGTAGAAACAGAGAGATTTTCGAGTCAAATGATACTGTAGAGGAGATGATGCAGAAAGCAATCTGATGTTATTGAGGTGTTGATTAACCTGAGCGATGTGGAGAAGACGGTGAGGAGGAGTCGTATCAGATAAAAAAAAATCAGGGATGTTTAAGATTTTACAATTTTAGGGAATTGGGTTATAATGCGGTTTAGTTTTGGTTTACTTGGTTCAATTAGGTTATAATGTGGTTTCGTTTCAATTATAACTGGTTAATATTTATTTGGTAAATAGTAAACCGAGTTTGGGTGGTTTTTAGTTTTAAACTTTTATATTATGGGTAAATAGGTTTCGAACTTTTTAATTGGGGAGAAATACGTTTCTAATTGAAAGGAATATTAGTGCTGAGGTCGAAACTTTGGGTGGATCTATTACTATATAATATTACGGAGGGGGAAATACGTCGTTTTCCCATCATTTATTACAAGGTAAAATCAAAACATTTCAAATCAAGAAAAACAAAAACAAAGAAGCCTAGACTATATAGTTTTTCCACGACATTGACATTTCACCAATAAACCAATAATTTCTTCTTACAGTCGGATGGTGCAACCACCGCCTTCACCACCATCACCGTATCCTTTTCTAGAGCGGCTAAAAGACTTGAAGCACTTCGCCGGACACGTCAGCTTCTTCAGGTGACAATGACCTTAATTTCTCTTTACACACCACCGTTGGTCTCACCACACCTCCTTTGTTGTATCCGCCACCAACGTTTCCCCAATCCTTACCACTGAAACCGGGTAATTCAAAACTGGTTCCTGGTTCAGATCCGAATCCGGGCTCAAAGTATCCTCCTGATGATCCATAGTCCTTGTTATTCTTGTTATTATTACCTTTTGAGTTTTTCTTGAGCTGATCCGAGATGGATTCAGTTCGGGTCGGACATGAGTGCAAGAGTGTAAGCATGAGAAGCAAAATTGTAAAGAATATTAGGAGATTCAAGATTGAGTTTTGTAGTCATTTTTAATGGGTGGAAAGGAGTTTGATTTAATTTTTTTGGATTCAGTGGATGGAGAAAGAGTATTGTTTATGTATATAGAGAAAAATGTTTTAGAATTTTTATATTTAAGAGATTATCTAGTTACAAATCTCGTTGCAAATTTCTGATAATTTTTTTTGATAAATCATAATTTTTGGAATTTAGATTATGAAAGATCTCTATCTTTATCGTGTTTCGGACGAGATTATATTGACAAAGAATATTATTAAACTAACCAAACTGTTTTGGTTTCCTGCATGAAAATTTATGTTGAAGATTCAAAACTTCTTAACAAAAAAAAAAGATTTAAAACTTATTGGTTACAATATACTCAAATTTTTAAGAATGATTAGAGGTGTTCGTCAAGTATATATTATGTAAACCAATTTTCTTATTAACGAGCAGGCTTGTCTTTAATGTTCAGCTGCATCAGCTTTAAGCGAGAGAAGATACTATGATATCACAAGAAAACGAAAGATCTTGTCTGGGCGTTTAATCTAAAATTCCCCTTCCACTTTACCACATTTAATTTAATCTGACAAATTAGAAGATGTGATGCATTTATAGTGAAACGTAATGAGTTATCGCCTATCCTTACGTGTTTAGACTTGATGACAGCTTCTCGCCTTGCAGGTTCTGAAAATAAATATCAGGAACAAAACGAAACCATCTTTTAAAATCAGCTCAAGCGTGTCTGCTACAAGTAATTCAAGCACGTGGAAATGAGACAAACCTAACTTTCCAAATTTTTAAATCATTTTTAAAACTCATCAAATGTTCGTGTGGGAGTTTAAAACTATAGTTATAATTTTAATTGAAAAACTACCACATTAAGGAGAATGTTATCAAGTGTGTCGAACATTAAGGAAGAGCCAAATAAACACTCTTGATTATAATTTCTTACAAAGCAGCAAAAGTCTAAACCAACAACGTTTTTATTTCATATATATTCTTCTTACTCCATCATGCGGAACCTTCCGGTTTCATACACATGGTACATCCACACAGGTTGAAGCAATTCTCTTGCAGCTTCAAGCTGCTTCACTTCATCTTCATCTCTTTCTTCACCTATCTCTCGCTCTATAATTGGGTAGATTCTCGGAAGTGAGACCAACATTGTGACAAGCTCTTTCCACTCTCTATCTTCTCTACTTCCCAACTTCACACATAGAAAATGCAACAATCCTAGAGATGTACTGTAATCCTTCTTCTCTATACACACTACTGAACATATCAAAAGAATATAACCGATTCCATCAACCACCTTGGAGTTACCTTTCACTAATGAAACTATGGTGTCTCTCAGTCTTTTGAATGCCGAGAGTGGAAGATGGGAATCCGAGGTCTCATTGATTTCATGTAGTTCGATCTTCGCACAAGTGAGAAGCCATAGTGGAAAGCGGAGGTTGATGTGGTTGAATGAGCTGGTGTATGAACTTTCTTCTTCCATGTTGTTATTGATGAAACAAGGTCCTATTGCAAGAACCAAATCTGGTATCCAAGGGGTTAAGGCTGTCACAAGTCTTGATGCAGAAGCTGAGCCTAAAGATATTTCAACCGTGGTGAATAGATCAAGCAGGTTATTTGCAAGGTCAAAAGCTTCAAACAAAGGGCATGAAGCTTCGGTTGTGTGACTCATCACTAGGTTTATGAACTTTCCGGCATAACTGGTAGAGCTCTTTGTACACATAATCATGTCCTTCAAATCTGCATCCTCGAATTGTAACTTACCAGTTGAATGATGGTTGAAAAGGGAGATGGCATACTTTAGACATGTGGATGTGAACTTCAACATCCTTGCTTGGAAGTGGGAAGCTAGACCCATCTCTATAGACTCAACAATAAACTTGAGAATCCCAGTTAGCATCTTGACCTTGTTTAGTACACCTCCTTCCTTGGATCCCTCAGAAGCTACATGAAACATGAAACAATGTTAGAAATCTTCAAAGAGAACTGATACTTACCAAAAGGAGAGAGCTACATAAGAAGATTTCATTATATTGGGTAACATGTGTACTGAAACTCAAAACTCTCCACTTACCATCATCATTGGCATTTGAAAATCTTGTTTTGGGTTTCTTTCTAAGATTACCCTCTAGAGATACGGTCCCTTGCGTTCCACTCTCAAATGCCTGAAATAATTCATCTGTGCAGCCTAGAATGTGATCCATTGTTTGGTCCAGAATATCCTGCTAGAAAATGAAGAATCCTGGTAATTAGTAAACTGATGGTGTGAAAAGCAAAGAATCAAAATGGAGAGCAAAATTTTCTTGCCTCATTCTTCTGAGTATTCGTATTACTATTCTGAAGAGCCATATGCAAAGCAAGAGAAGTATATGCCAATACAGGGTACACGTCCATGTATTCACAAGAAGAGGCTTGCAGAACGCTAATCAGGGAGATAATTTTTAAAGCAAAGAATAACTCTTCAATATCAGACTCAAGTATAGCTTTACGAGCATCATCGATAATTAGTAAATCCTTTATCTGCCATGCTATTCCTACAGCAATTGAATAATCTTCTTCTAAACTGATTGCGTTTTTTCCGGTAACATGATTCCACCGTGCCGAAGATTTTCCAGAGGACTTTGATTTCTTCCTCGACATAGAATACACATTCTTTGTTTCTACTTCATAGCCGAAATTGATCTGACAACGGTACGCAGTTTTCTGTAGGATATTGGTAAAAGTTCCAACAAGGTCAGATAAAGCATTAGAAGAGAGGAGTAACTTGTGTACAGACCTCATCTCGATCTGTCGTCTTGCATCCCCAGACAAACCACCACAATTAAGAACTAAAGTCATGCAATCTTCTAGGACATCAGAGACGACATCAGGGGAGACCATAGCAAGAATATCAAAGACAGCTGACTGAGCTTGTGCAGTGAGTGCAAAAGCTAGCAAGCTTTTCAATTTCTCTCGAGGTAGCATTTCTTTAAGGGAGGCTAGACACCCAGAATCAGCAACCAAATCTTTACAGAGATAATGCACAGCAAGAAGCAAGCCTTCAATCTGGTTTTCCTCTATCTCGCTGCCTGACAAGACTATATTTAAGAAGAACCTAACAAGCTGCAATACAGATTGAAAGGTTGCTCCAACAGATACTAAAAATTCGCAAAACCTTGCACCAGCCATTGGGTTTCTGTTTATGAGAGTCCTACATCGCGTGCACGCCTCCTCAACTCTCTTTCTTGATGGAAAATATGATGGCATTAGAAGTCGCGTGATTCCCTTAGCAACATGAGTTTGATCAGAAGCAAGCACAGATAATAACACATCCAAGCTCACCACCTACATATAATAAGGCAACTATTACCACTGACTCAACAGAAGTGACAAGAAGAATTTGAATGCAGAAATAGAAAGCCTCTTCCTACCGTATTAAACTGGAAAGTCCGAACATCTCTTACGAGAAGGAGCAGATCTACCATGGCAACTCGTACTGAAGTAACATTATCTAGCATCAAATGCCCCAGTCTTGGCAGAACCACTTTAAGAATACCATGGGACTGTGGATTTGCAAGAAGATAAGTTATACCATTAACTGTTGAAAGTCTAACCTCATTGCACGATTCATGTGACATATCATCGAAAAGTTTTGTGATGGTCTTGGTAATTGTTGGGGATGGGATCACTTCCCAAAAAAGATAGAAAACTCGACAAAGACCTTCCACAGCAACAGATCTCACATTAGGGCATTCATCATTCATCAATTTTTCCAACAAGTACAATTGTTTGTCAAGTAGCGTATCTTTTTCTTCTTTTGTTGCATCCGGATCCTCCATGGGGAAAAGATCCAGAAGTAAATGTAAAGCATTTAAACGAACATTTGAATTTGCAACCTGAAAGATTATTAGAGCAGCGAAAAATCACTTCTTACCGAATGTTCAAACAATATCAGACTAAAATACCCATGAAAGATGCCTAGTTAAGTTCTAGGTAATGGCTAAGTTGCATACGCTATAGTTAGCTTGTCACCCCTACGAATCTATTTTGAGAAAAATCTGGAGAGCTTAAAAAACAAACCTGCAATGAGCGAAATATCATGGGTTCAGTAAGGCCAAAGAGGAGCTTCTCAATGCCTTGAGTTGTCCGCTGTGTGATAAACCCTCCCAAAACCCTTCTAAGAGAGGCAGCTAAGGCGTATGAACCGGCGTGAATAGCACTCTCAATTATCCCTTGCAAAAATCCATCTTCAATCTCACCTTTCAAATCTTGATCTACTTCTTTCCAAGCCCTAAAGAGAATCTTGCCAAACCCTTCAAGCACCGATTTCCTTCCAAAAGGGATCTGAGCTTTGACAACAGCAAGACCAGACTTCATCAACTCTCTGCTAAGCCCAAAAGTAAAAGAGACAAATCTCTGACCGTCTTCTGTCTTCACATACAAAGGCGAAACCACACACCGCATTAAAAGCATCTTCAGATCTTCAATGCTCTCGTCCTCAAAATCAAACAATGTGAATGCTTCCCTCAGCATATATACTCGATGCACGTCTACTTTCTTCTTCAATGTCAGTGACCTCGACAACAGAAACGGTAGCGACTGAGAAATCAAAGTTTCTTTTCTGGTAAGACCTTCCTTCCACCAAGATTCACAAATTCCGACAATCTCAAGGCACAGAACTGTATCCGACTCAAACAGTATAAGATTATCATGCAAAGCTTGGGCAGCGGGGAGTAAATCAGAGGTAGAAAACGCTTTTTTGGAAGATAAAACACATAGATGAAGTACATGAGAGAGGATCTGGAGAGAACCATTGATCTTCTGTCTCCGCTGATCCAAATCCGAGTCGGGTAAGGATCCGGATTTGTTACCACGTTGGCGCTTCGATGGAGGAGAATTAGAAGGAGAGGAGAGATGTAGATTATCATCTCCGGCGAGTTTCTGGAAAGATTCCGTATGGTGGAGTATAAAGTTGTGAAGAGCAAGTGGGAGAGAAGATGAGAGATTCGACGAGGGTTTCACTGCGTTGATAATGGTTTTCAGTGACGATTTAGATGATTTTAGGGTAAAATTCACTGCAGATGAGAGGAACTCTTCCGCAGATATCTCGAGAGAAGACCAGAGCCTCTTCTCCATTTTTGTGCAAATCAGTTGTCAGTTGAACTAATGATATGAACACTAGGCGGTCAGCAGAAGGCTCTGCCGCGAGTTGGACCAAAACTTATCGCTATCAGTTTATGAGCCGACTAAACCGATTAAGCCAGATCGGAGGCAAGCCACTGCGATATTAGGCTCGGTGGTAACCAATTTTCTTCTGCCAAATACCGATTTTTTTAAAAAACCAGTGATGCCTTAAAAGTCGGTGACTTACTAAACATCGGAGGATTTTTAAATATGATTTGGGCCAATAGCAAGCCCAACTGGAGTGGAACGCGCGACTAATTTGCTGTGGCTCTTTAGACGATGAAGACTCTTATTTATAGTACAACTTCCCCTTCTCAATTATGCAAGTTTGTCGATGTGGGACAACTCAAAAGACTTACCTTTAAAAAAAATATCATAAGTACTTATGGGCTTGGGTTAAATATGAGTCCTCAACCACCCAATATTTAAACAAACTTTAATTTATACATATTCTAATATAACAAAATTAATTTTTAAAAATAATTAAATATTAAAAATAATTAAAATAAATAGAAAAATAATCCTCAATTAATATTTGATTTATCTCCAATCTTTTGTCCAGGCGTTAGGCGTTAGTCGAACGGCCTAGACAAAATAAAATCACAAAAAAGAGCAGGAACTTTGGTCAAATACCATAAAGCAAAGAATGAATGAGGATGTGAGTTACATGGAATCATAGAATATAGTTTGCGGCATATTATGATGCTAGGCCATCTGGAAGATTTTTCTTCTTAAAAATACAAAAAAAAAAATTGATAAGTTTTAGAGAAATCGAAAATACCAAATGTATGAGTTATGTGAAATAAATGAATGGAATTTGCATGTAACTGATTTGGAAGAAAAGTTTGTGACAGTTAAAAAACAAAGTCACATGCCATATACGAATTTTAATTTTGGACCAGTATATGTTCAAAAATTCGGATGTTCAAAAATTCACATGTTCTAATATAACAAAATTAATCTTTAAAAATAATTAAATGTTAAAAATAATTAAAATAAATATAAAACTAATCCATAGTTAATTCTTGATTAATCTCCCATCTTTTGTTCAGGCGTTAGTCGAACGGCCTAGTCACGAAAAAAAAGAGTAGGAGTTTTGGTCAAATACCATAAAGCAGAGAATGAATGAAGATGTGAGTTACATGAAATCATAGAATAGTTTGCGGCATATTATGATGTCAGGCCATCTGGAGAATTTTTCTTCTTGAAAAAAAAAAAAAATTTGATAATAAGGTTTAGGGAAACCGAAAATACCAAATGTATGAGTTATGCGTTAAATAAATGAAAGGAATTTGCATGTAATTGATTTGGAGGAAAGTTTGTGACAGTTGAAAAACAAAGTCACATGCCATATACGAATTTGAATTTTGGACCAGTATATGTTCAGAAATTCGTTAAGAGCTAATTAGATGTTCAGATTGGACCTAATGCCTAGCAAATAATTCGGGAATTATCTAGTTGTATACTATTTACTTATAAAAAAATTGCTTTTAATTGATTCAAATACGAGTAAAATTAACATGTTTCTGTTTATCCATGCCACATAACTAGTTAATAGGGGCACACAAACTCATTCCCAATTCCTTCTAATGAACCTGAAAGTAAGCTTTAAAACACAATGTCGAGGCCCCAAAATCTCACTCGTGAAGGTTTGCCACCGATCTGGATCTTTTTTTACTACATGCATTAAAATAAATTGAATAACTCTCAAAGGAAAAATGTTCAAACCTAAGGTTAATGACACAGAACATTTCCTATGATAATGTCGTTCTTTCTGCTTCTAAGGCCGAGTGCAACATAGGGTAAGATTTGCCCCCCAACCCAACTGACAAGTGACAACACTCCTTTTCATCCCTCAAAATCAATCCCACCCAACTTAGGGTAGGGTTTGAACATTGTTTCTTGTCAGAAGACCATGAAGCATCTGCATTACACAGTTTACACTTATAGGTACATGTGGTTGGGGGAATTCACTTGACCGTAGCTTGGGGTTGTGGCTATCAAGGGATTGTTTGGACTCTTCTGACATAGTACTATATTCAAACCACTTTTGAGCATATGAAGATGCTTTTGTAGACTTTTAGTCACATGTTGTGCACCTTAGTTGAACCTGAGAATATAAACTCATTACGTGCTTTCCATAATCTCCGTACTATCCAAAGCCAATCCTCTGTTGTAAATCACCATCCATACGGACCATACAATTTGCTGAGAGTAGACATCTCATATACACACTATTTTAAAATTTGTAAATTTTAATACTTTATATTTATACATACAAGAATATATATATAGATATATGTGTGTATGTCTGTGTGTGTATGCGTGTGTGTATGTGTGTGTGTGTTTGTGTGCGTATGTGTGTGTATGTGAGTGTGTTTTTTAGTAGCAATTTTGAATTTAAGGGGTTAATATTCCTAAAATCAAATATCCGAGTTATGTTTTAACTTTGGAGTAACTTGATGATACCATTCAAGAATCTAAAAGACAATAATAAGGCCAAAAAATGAAAAACTTTTTAAACTGAAAGTGTAGAAACAAGAAAGAGAAAAAAAGAATAATTATGTCTCTATCTCAAAGTCTCTCTAGTAATCCGAATCTGGTCGGTCCATTCTCATGAGTCATGATGGTATGTATTATTGCAATTTGGCAATACAAACCTAGAAATGACTTTATTGCAGACAACAAATGTGTCGACAGATAATTTTCCCACTTCACGTCGCTAAAGAGAAAGTGCCAATAAGTTCCTCAACTCTAATATATATATATATATATATATATATATATATATATATATATATATTGGTTGTAAGAGTTTTTTAATTAAAACTTAGCTATTAGAAAAGTTCACAAAAATATATAGGGCTACATTAATTTCAAAACTAGACTTACGTATATAATTTAATATGTGTTTAGCTTATTTGTTTGAAGAATTTCATAATATTAAACATCTTATTGTTATAAGAGAAACTAAATATATAGTTTGATTGTCATATCTATAGAAAAACTTTTGTAGGAAAAGTAAGAAAATTTGTAATTTAGAACTTTTATGTTTTTATTTTTTTTTTATGTTTTTATTGTTTTTTTATGTTTCATTTTAATATCACAACTTTAACAAAAAAATTGTAATAAAAATCACATTTTTAAATTTGCATTAAGCCTCTATAAACCTAAGCATGGTACTGATTGAAAGATAGGATGAATTGACAAAAGGAAGACAAAGCTTGGGGGGGTATTGGATTAAGGAATTGGACTGAATTTGACAGAAATTAGATTTCTATTAAATTCTTGTGTTATTCAATGTAGTATTCTATCAATTCTTTTAAATATATGTGTTATTGGATCTAAGTATTGTAGTCATTCTTTTGAAATACTTTAAATTTTACTGTTATTGGATCCATGAGTGTTTTAATTCTATTAAATATCTGTGTTATTCAATATTTGATGAATTTAGTGGTAACGTTATTTACAAAGATTTAAATAGAAAATTGATTGTAATTTGTAAAGAAACAATTCCGAGCTTTTATGCTGGGAATGTGATGGAATTAGAATCCATGTGGCGACCATATGATAATCATGCGACCACATTCTATATTGTGATTTTAATTACAAATGCTAATCAACCATATATCATAAAATCTCTAGTTAACTATACATAGATCCTAAAATCTCTGCAAAATGGTACTTAAATTTCAAATATTGTTAATCATAATTTCCAGTCAATCATATATCATTAAATCCCTACAAAATAGTAGAATTTTTAAAAAAATTAAAAACTCAAAACTTATTTGTTATGTAATATTTCCTCTATATATAACGTTGCATCTCTCTCTCAAAGCAACAGAAAAGAAAAACAATATCACTAGTTTATACATGTTTATAAAATAATGTTTAATTCAAAATTTATAAATTTTTGAAGAATTTGTATCTATGGAAATTCTTTTGCATTCTTTTCAAATCTAGAACAAAATTCTTTTACATTCTTTTCAATTCTAAAAATGAAAACAAAAAAATTCCATCAAAACTTTTTAGTTTTAAAATCTACCACCACCATAGCTTGGCGACCATTGCATTTCTTGCATTTTTAGAAGGCTTTATAAGCCACCTCCTCAGGATCATCTGCTTTTTTATTCTTAAAATGTTTTTAATTAATATCGTAATTTTCAGTGTAATAAAGTCATTTAATTTACTTTATAAAATATTTCCAACTAGTTTTCGATATTTGAGTAGTTCAATTGGAGTGTTGTTTTGCTATAACCCAGCATACACTATTTAACATCTTATTTTCTTATATTGTTTTTAAAAGTATTTAAGGAGAGTTGAATTTATTTTCAACGATTTACAAACTTGTTAGGACCTTTTCTGTTTTAGTCATCTAAGAAAAAAATCAAAACATACACAAGCTCCACTTTTCATATTTGACTTAGAGCATCTCCATAGTAAACCCTTTTATGGGGTTTTTATGAATTTTTAATAATTTTTTTTTATCAATGAAAAGTTAAGAGCCTTTAATCTAAAATAGTGAACCTTATTAAGATTCTTAAAAAATTTAAATTAATATTTTATAAATTATTTATGTGATTCAAGGTGGTGATGGTTTTACAAGGAAGATGAGTTGCTTGGACTTCCAAAGAAATCGCAAATCGAACAACAATTTCTCAATTTAGACTCAAATTGTTCATAATTGGATCTCAAACCCCAGCATCAAACATAATTTCCGATAAGATCAAAGAAATCTGAAACACTATATACAAAATTGAATTTAGGAAATCAAACATAATCGAATATAGATATATCATCTAGAGTTTAAGAGAATCAAACAATTCAAACTACAGACTGAAAAAAGCACGGATTCAAACCTTGACGGTGAAATAATAGATGGATTTGGACTCAGAAGTAGCACCCATCGAGTGTTTCGACCTAGAAAGTTTAGTTCTTGTTGTCGATAATGGAAGAAAACGAATCCAATGAGAATTGAAAAGAGGTTTTGCAGAATAAAATTTAGATAGAAACAGAAAAAGTGATGATGATGATGAAACTCGAAATATGATTTAAAAAAAAAAGATGAGAATAAAGATGAAAAATATGTTAAAAAAATAAATTAATAACGCCCAATAGCCAACCTTCACGTCACGTAAGAACCCATCTCTTGAGGCTCTTAGCATATAAGGCTTTTTTAAATTCGATTCTCCTGTGTTTCCAGACCCAAATCTGCTAAGAACCTCTAATGGAGGTGGTTTTGGAATCGTTTGTTTTTGGGATTTTTGTAAGATAATATTGATAAATTACATATTTTATTACCAGTTTTTAACATTTGTTTAGAGTTTTTCTAATTTTTTATCAAGTTTTTATCGAATCTTTATAGGTATAAAGTCATTTATTAGTCTTTCAAAATTATAGTCTTTTAGTTATTTATCAAGTTTTTACAGGTATAAAGTTGTTTAGAAAGAAAAATAGTCATTTTGGATACAAACGTACAAACTTATGAAGATACATGATCGTGCAAATACATCAGACGTGTGACATCCATTTAAAAATTTCTCATCATTGGATCAAGCTCCAAATTTGATGCACAATAGAGTATTGGGTTAGCTTTTATTTGGAAGTGGGTTGAGATCATTTCAAAAAACAAAATACAACATTTTGTTGTGCACTTGCTGATAGTTTATGATAAAAAAACCAGTGTTATCAACGTATGGGTTTAACATTCTTTTTTTTTCTATTTTATTTGTGGGTTTCTATCTTGATGTTCTGCTAATTCTACTTTTGATATATTTCATCTCATATTTTCACTCTAGTATATTCTAAGATTTGGGATGCGGACGGACTTGCGTCTTGTCGAAAAGGGAAAAATACAAACGTAAAATATTTTGATACATTTAGGAAAGATGATTGTGGTGTAAATATGTATCTACAGGCCTGTGAATACAAGTTTATACATCAAGCATGTGCTTTGAGACTTTGAATTTATAATTTTTAGATTTATCAATTTAGATGACGATTAATCAATATATCATAGTCTAAATTTGTACATAGTAACTGCTGTTAAGCTACAAATTTGTTTTATTTATTAATAAATAACTCTACTCAGTATCAATTATTTTTCGAATACAATTTAATTGATGTTATCCACAATTTTCTGGTAGTGATCCTATCATGTTTACATAAGTGTAAAAATGTTTTAATAAGTGATGAAAATAGTTTAAAAGATGTAGAGAAATACTAAACCGGACTAAAAAGGTTGTGCACTTCAATATGTTGTTTCGTGAGCCAAGAGAAAGAAGATGAAAGATAAGCTTTTCAAAGAAAAGTCAAATTTAATTTGAAGAAATATATAAATTTAAAGGTTTAAAATTCGTCAAGGTTTATGTGTAATGAAGAGATCATTGTATACAAAGATATTGTTCGGCATCTACCGACCTACGAAATATTGGATTTCTGAAAAATATAAAATTCGATCATAAGGCATATAATTGAAATGGCATGATATCGAAATCTGATACTCTCCTCTCTTTTCTAAGAATTAAGGATAATTTATTTTCATTCATTATTAAATATCATCTATCTACATCATTAATATTATCATATCCTATAATATTACAAGAAATGGCTACCATTCCTTCCAATTTGCCTTGATGTTATCTATATATTGCTTTGACATAATATAATAACAAAGATATATTTACAGTATATACATATACATATAAATATATATGTATATACTGTATAGCTTGAAACACTGTATACAAAATCGAATTCAGGAAATCAAACCTAATTAAATACAAATATATCATCTAGAGTTTGAGAGAATCAAATAATTCATGCTACAGACTGAGAAAAGCACAGATTCAAACTTTGACGGTGAAATAATAGATGGATTTGGGCTCGGAAGTAGCAGCCATCAAGTGTTCCAACCTAGAAAGTTTAGCTCATGTTCTCGATAATGGAAGAAAACATATCCAATGAGAATTGAAGAGATGGTTTGCATAATCAACTTTAGATAGAAACAGAGAAAGTGATGATGATGATGAAACTCGAAATATGATTAAAAAAAAGATGAGAATAAAGATGAAAAATATGATAAAAAAAATTAACACCCAATAGCCAAATTAACACTAATATATCATGGTAAAAAATTGTGCATAGTAACTGCTGTTAAGCTACAAATTTGTTTTATTTATTAATAAATAACTCTACTCAGTATCAGTTATTTTTCGAATACAATTTAATTGATGTTATACAATTTTCTGGTAGTGATCCTATCATGTTTACATAAGTGTAAATATGTTTTAATAAGTGATGAAAAGAGTTTAAAAGATGTAGGGAAATACTAAACCGGACTAAAAAGGTTGTGCACTTCAATATGTTGTTTCGTGAGCCAAGAGAAAGAAGATGAAAGACAAGCTTTTCAAAGAAAAGTCAAAATTAATTTTGAAGAAATATATAAATTTAAAGGTTGAAAATTCGTCAAGGTTTGTGTGTAATGAAGAGATTATTGTATACAAAGATGTTGTTCGGCATCTACCGACCTACGAAATATTGGGTTTCTGAGAAATATAAAATTCGATCATAAGGCATATAATTGAAATGGCATGATATCGAAATCTGATACTCTCCTCTCTTTTCTAAGAATTAAGGATAATTTTTTTCATTCATTATTAAATATCATCTATCTACATCATTAATTTTATCATATCCTATAATATTACAAGAAATGGCTACCATTCCTTCCAAGTGGCCTTGATGTTATCTATATATATGTATATATATATATATTGCTTTGACATAGAAGAATAACAAAGATATATTTACAGTATATACATATACATATAAATATATATGTATATACTGTATAGCTTAAAACACTGTATACAAAATCGAATTCAGGAAATCAAACCTAATCAAATACATATATATCATCTAGAGTTTGAGAGAATCAAACAATTCAAGCTACAGACTGAGAAAAGCACAGATTCAAACTTTGACGGTGAAATAATAGATGGATTTGAGCTCAAAAGTAGCAGCCATCAAGTGTTCCGACCTAGAAAGTTTAGCTCATGTTGTCGATAATGGAAGAAAACAAATCCAATGAGAATTGAAAAGAGGTTTTGCATAATCAACTTTAGATAGAAACAGAGAAAGTGATGATGATGATGAAACTCGAAATATGATTAAAAATAAAAGATGAGAATAAAAATGAAAAATATGATAAAAAAATTAACACCCAATAACCAACCTCCACGTCATGTAAAAACCCGTCTCTTGAGGATCTTAGCTAAGAGTTGGTTCTTAGCATATAAGGCTTTTTTTTAAATTGGATTCTCCTATGTTTCCGGATCCAAATCTGCTAAGAGCCTCTAATGGAGGTGGTCTTGAAAGTCGTAAGGTAAAATTTTTTGTTTTTTTTTGGATTTTTGTAAAATAATATTGATAAATTACGTATTTAATTACCAGCTTTTAACATTTTTTTAGAATTTTTCTAATTCTTTATCAAGTTTTTATCGAGTCTTTATTGGTATAAAATCATTTAGTCATTCAAAATTATAGAGTTTTTAGTTCTTTATCGAGTTTTTATAGGTATAAAGCCGTTTAGAATGAAAAATAATCATTTTGGATACAAACGTATGAACGTATGAAGATGCATGATCATGCAAATACATCAGACGTGTGACATCCGTTTAAAAATTTCTCATCATTGGATCAAGCTCCAAATTTCATGCACAATAGAGTATTAGGTTAGCTTTTATTTGGAAGTGGGTTGAGATCATTTCAAAAAACAAAATACAACATTTTGTTGTGCACTTGCTCTGATAGTTTATGATTAAAAAAAAATCAGTGTTATCAACGTATGGGTTTAACATTCTTTTTTTTTTCTATTTTAGTTGTGGGTTTCTATCTTGATGTTCTGCTAATTCTACTTTTCGATATATTTCATCTCATATTTGCACTCTAGTATATTCTAAGATTTGGGATGCGGACGGACTTGCATCTTGTCGAAAAGGAAAAAACACAAACATAAAATATTTTGATACATTTAGGAAAGATGATTATGGTGTAAATATGTATTTACAGGTCTGTGAATACAAGTTTATACATCAAGCATGTGCTTTGAGACTTTGAATTTATAATTTTTAGATTTATCAATTTAAATATTTTATTAAGTATGATGACGATTAATCAATATATCATGGTCAAAATTTGTATATAGTAACTGGTGTTAAGCTACAAATTTGTTTTATTTATTAATAAATAACTCTACTCAGTATCAATTATTTTTCGAATACAATTTAATTGATGTTATCCACAATTTTCTGGTAGTGATCCTATCATGTTTACATAAGTGTAAATATGTTTTAATAAGTGATGAAAAGAGTTTAAAAGATGTAGAGAAATACTAAACCAGATTAAAAAGGTTATGCACTTCAATATGTTGTTTCGTGAGCCAATAGAAAGAAGATAAAAGACAATTTCAAAGAAAAGTCAAAATTAATTTTGAAGAAATATATAAATTTAAAGGTTTAAAATTCGTCAAGGTTTGTGTGTAATGAAGAGATCATTGTATACAGAAATGTTGTTTGGCCTCTACCGACCTACGAAATATTGGATTTTTGAGAAATATAAAATTCGACCATAAGGCATATAATTGAAATGACATGATATCGAAATCTGATACTCTCCTCTCTTTTCTAAGAATTAAGGATAAATTTTTTCATTCATTATTAAATATCATCTATCTACATCATTAATTTTATCATATCCTATAATATTACAAGAAATGGTTACCATTCCTTCCAATTTACCTTGATGTATATATATATATATATATAAAAAACTTGCTTTGACATAATAGAATAACAAGGATATATTTACAGTATATACATATACATATAAATGTTTTTTTTTTTGAAAAGCCATAATCTAAATAGTCACAAACCAAATGTCACTAAAATCCATTTTTTGTAAAAAAAAAGGAAAAGAATAAAAAAAACCTGTATAACTTCTAAGCTTCTTCACAAAGTAATGTACACTAATGTGACATTTTGATTTCTTCTTTTTTTTTGGTTAAATCCACTATGACTTTTATACCACCCATCTAATCTTGTTTTTCTCCTTCTTGTGTATAATAAGAAAACCCAATTAAAATAAAAATAGAAATAAAAATAATAAAAGAGCTAAATCCCACGACGACTAATTAACTCTTTGTACTGTCTCAGCGACTCCATCCTCTGCAACTTCATCTCCTCATTAAACTTCTTAATAAACGCCTCAACTCGCCGATTCAACTCGTCCTGACTCAGCGACGGCTCTTTCCTCATCTTCCCCTTCGCCTTCTCCATCTCCGCCGGCTCCGGCGACTGGTAATCGTTAGTCCTGTCTCTAAACGTCTCCGATTTCTTGTAAACCGGTTTCGCCTCGCTCCCGCCGGAATCTCCACGGCCAAACGTATCCGATCTCCGGTATAACTGTCTGGTCAACGGCGTTGACTTTCCTTCCGTTATCATCTTCCAAGTATTCTCCAGTGTCTCGTTCCGCTTCGGCTTCGTCACTCTCAACGCTCTTCCACCTGCAGAATCATACACAATTACAAATTTGCCCCTCCGGAATTTTGACTTTCAAACAAACCACCGACGCCAAAAAATTTGAAATTTTTTTTTTAATATTTGAAATCTACCTAACCGTTTCATTAAACATAACGTCGTTTTCTTCCTTTGTTTTTTCACTTTTAAAAATCAATTTAAATTTTGAAGAAAGCGACAAATCAGTACCTTCTGGGTTGGCTTTCACCACTTTCCGGTGACCGAACCATGACGAAACTAGAGGCTTCTCCGTCGGAGGAAGATTCTCCGATTCCGTCATCCTCGGCGGCAGATTATTCCAATTTGAAATCGGCGGCAACATCACCTCATCATCTCCACCGGATTTAACCAGATCGGAACTCTCCTCCGCCATAACCACGATCTTAACCTCCTCTTCATTTTCGTTTTCATCCTCCACCATTGCCACCGCATCTAACAGCATCTTCTTCTCCTCCTCATCGTCATACACAACCGCCGTAACCACCTCCGATTCCAGCTGCGGAGACGGCGGATTCGCGACCACGAGATTGAAATTCGAATCCTGATCCAAATCCGTCACCACCATCATCCGCGGAGAAGCTTGATCTAGTACAATCGGCTCCGTCTGGATCTTACTATAATCGCCGCCGCCACCACCGTACACGATCCCGTCGTCTTCCTGTTCACGGTGGCTCGTGCTTCGGTAATACTTGGAAGAAGCGACGATAGTGATGATGATTCCGTTGGTGATGACGTAGAGATACGGCGGTTTCAGCCACGATAGCACAGAACTCCACAGGATCGGAGCTCGAGACACGGAAAATTCAACAGCCGCCGGAACAGAGACTTTAAGCAATAGCCCCACGGAGGCGACGCCGCTTGAGATTAGCACTGTCTTGATCGTCATCATCCACGAAACCATTTTCTCCGATCTCAGCTCTCTCTTTCTCTCTCTTCTCTCTCTCTCTTCTCTCTCTCTCTTCTCTGTCTCTCTTTTCACGATTGTGAGTGTTCGTATGGGGATATGTGTACGGTACACTCTCAAGATTTTCTAGTTTATATAGGGAGGGAGGGAAGTTATGTGAGGTAGCGTCTGGTTTGATATCTGCCGTTAGATCTATTCTTGCTTAGATGGACGGTTAAGATTATATGCAGAGCGTAGCAAAATGGGTCCGGCTAAATTACCGGATTTTAAGTTTACATTATCGTGTGATAATTTAACGATGACTGTAAAAGTGATTATCTCTTACGTGTAACGTTATGTGTGTAATAAATATTGATGTGTGATGATCACTCTCTATTGAAAGTTACTGGTAGAATTTATAACTATATTCTAATGTTTTAGTATGATGGTTTCTGTAGATAGATGATTATCTGTAACTAACTTTAACGTATAATATCCACTACAAATGATTAATTGTTTATACCAAGAACTATAGCTACAGAAGTCAATCACCAAGTGTTGATTCCCGCTAATCTCACGCATCATTTACATTAAATTTATGTAATTACTGTGTATAATATTTGTTTTGAAGAAAATAGACATGAGCACGAAGAAATTTAAGTTTTCTAATCCATATACAATTTTTTTAATTAATTATTAACATACTGACATACAATTCTTAAAATGTGATTTTATGATAATTGCTCTAAAAAAGCTAACTATAGTGTATCAAATTTCTACATTAGATTACTTATGAATCCAATTATTTTGTTAAAATTTATCTTGATTACTTATTATTCAAGCAACGACCACTTGATATAGCAATACAAAATCAGATATTGTATTCACTCGATACGCAAATCAATATAGTAAAGCAATAGGGTTTTTCGACGGTAAAGGAATTGTTATAGCATCCGTAATAAGGGAATATTAAATTAACTATATTGTTGTCAATTTTCGAGTATTAATTATTGATGTTAATAGAAGTGATGATATTCTTAAGAAAGTTGTTGAATTTGATAGGCACATATAACCAGATTACTCTAGAGACCAATAAAGTGGTGTATATTAATGACATGAGAGTGGGGGCAAAGTATATACTTACTAAATACAGTATAAAATTAAACAACGCATTTTGATTGTAGTGTTGAAGGGACAAGAGTCTTATCGAGGAAAAAGTGCAAATATAGCTTATGGACTAAGTATGTCGATGTCATATATGCATGACATATGTTTCAGTAATATTTTGACCAAGAACACTTGTTTAAAATTATTAAATGGCAGTCGTAAGAGATTTTTTTCAAAGAGTTATCATAAAATACCGTAACATAAAAATTATTTCAACAATATCACAAAGTGTTCTTTTTTTTTTTGTAAAGGGCCTTCATATCACAAAGTGTTCTTAAAATAAAAAAATACCATAATTTTTAGATGAGGTAACTAGATGGTTTGAGATATCTTCTAAAGAACTAAATTTGTGATAGTACTTCTTTTACAATCGAGGATTGGTATTGAAAAAAAAAAAGACAAAAAAATATGGTATGCATTTTTTAACTTCCACATCAAGAAATTATCTTAAGACGTGATTTATTCATGACTTGTGAATATGATAAGGATTATGGAGTATTATATTTTATAGCAAAAAAGTATTGAAAATTGCAATTGGAACGTTTACATTAATTCGTAGATTAACAGCAATTTGAAGTAATAGTCGATTACTATTGACATCTTTTAATTTTTTTTTTATTTTTTAACTATTGACGTCTTCAATAATAAAGAATTGTGATAATTTTTAAGAAAGGTACAGAATAGGACGTAAAAAACTTTTATGGTTATCAAAACAAAAGTTTAGAGTTTGAAGAGTTCGAATTCAGGTAAATCAACAACCCTTTAAAAAAAAAAAGAATTTCAGGTAAATCAAAGGAGCTTTTTCTCTTGGGTACTGTAAAAGAACTAGATTTTATAAGATAAACAAAAAACATATTAATCATTAAATATTTGAAGAAAGTGAGAGAACGATATGAGCTTAGCAAGTTACAACGGTCATATATTGGTATTGGACCGTTTATAAGAGGAAAGTTTCTTCCCGATTTGGGTCAGCAGTGAAGCCCCACACTGCTCGTGTCCAGCTGTTGTGCTCAGTGATCCAACTGCAAAGATTTACTTCGCAAGTGGCGCCATAACTTTACACCTTTTTATTGTTATTATTCACCGTCTTTTTTTTTGTTTTTCTCAAAAGCACCAACATAATTTAATTGATAAACTTTTAATCAGTCAAGTGTCTTTGAAAGTGGGCTAAGTCGTCGGAATATCAACTACATTCTTTTTTCTGCGAACAAGTTGAAAAAGGAGGGAAATCCCGATGTGTACAGATATAGGTTTGTGTTTGTACATATAACTATTTTGTGAGTATCTTTTCTTTTGATCGAGTGGTTGTATTGGATTCAAACTTCACTTCACATATTAATTACCAAAGATCATAGCATTAGCTCTATTTTATACGCGGCCCTGATATCTGGATTATCCAGTGTGTATTGAAAAAGAAGAGGAAATTATATAATATAAACTAGCTTTGAGTTAGTAATTCCACCACAAATTTTCGAGATTCTGTTTTCTTTTGTTACTAATATTTTAGAATGAAATGAAAAATTGATAAAGACAAACGCGTGAAAAGCCGATTGTAACGCTCCTTGTTTTTTTTTTTTTTGGGATATAATTTGTTGCTTTTACTAATAAACTGTAGAGTATAAAGTATATTTTCTTTCGTTTGGCAAAGAAAGCTATTATTTTTTTTGGTTTTGTTAAAAGAGAGAAATTTATTTAATCGTTCTCCTAAATCATCTTTAACGTAGGGAGTAGGCCTTTTTACCACTGTCATATTGACGTAGAGAATCCAAATCTTGGTCACTGAATACACATTTCTATAACATATAATCACAAGGTTTAAGTAAGACATACAGTTATTTGAGATAAACTGTGGCAGCACAACAATAAAAGCATAATAATCGCTAGTTTTTATTGAGTCTCTTAGTATTTTTTACCATTAAAAATAATATAAAGTATATAGGATCCATTAAAATTATCAAGTGACGTTTTTAAATGAGGATTATTAAAAACGTATTCAGCATGTAATGACTCATTTTAATAATATAAAATTATTTAAGGTACCCAAAAAAGTATATAACGATAATAATGGTCTAACAAAACTAAATAATTTTTGTTAGTATGTCTAAAAAAGGCACATCTCGTACACCACAACCATTTAGTGTTATATGAATATCTGTTTACCTATATTTGTATATGAATTGGCTTTTTTCAACCTCAACTTTCACAAAATGTTAAATTTATACCAGAACTTATATATGGTGCTTAATCATACTTAATTTTTTAATTAATTTGAATTTCATCCTTAATATTATTTTTTTGTGCGTAAACCTTTTTTTGGTGAAACGGTGTTAACATGCCGTCAGACGTGGTCTACATGGACGACACGTAAGAAACGACTTCGTTTTGTTATGTTAAAGTGTTAAAAAAAATTTTGCAAAAGGACGTCATTTTTGCTACTCGAAACCTGATAAAATAAAAAAACAAAACTATGCTTTTTTTAAGTTTTTTCTTGTCTCGTCTTCAACCTCTTGACTTTAACTCAGACATGAATAAGAATTTCAAAATCCAGTTCTTCAACCTCTTGAAGGAATGTCTTCTTCGAGCAAACCAATTTTGACAAAAGAAAGCAGAGTGATAAACTAACAAAAGACAAGACGCAGAACCCAAGCTCTTTCACATCATAGATTCTTCAGTTTTTTACGCTTGTTTGAATCTGCTAGAGATGTTATTCATGTGGTAACTGACCATATCTTAAGAAATTTTCTATCCTCAAGCAAAACTCTATATACGAAACACCAGCTCTTTTGGCGGTGATTCAATTGCCAACCAACAAGGAAAACAAAAAAAAAAATTGTCTTTGCAAATGAGAAAATGTGATAAAAATTGTATAAAAACATACAGCCGGTGACGTGACTGAGGACAATGAGAAGACTCTGTCTTCAGGCTGAAACTTCCTTGACCTCTTATCACTACAAAATGAGTTCATACCAAAGTCAATTAATTCACTTTACATAAACAAAAACCCCAGAAGCTTAAACATTTTTCTTGAAAGGAACAGCAATCAATTCACAACAATCAGTGCTACAAAACAGATATTGAGTCCGTACTAAGAAATTTGTCTATTGATAGATATTTCATCTAGAAATGATGGATTAACAAGTGTTTGAACCTGTAAACAGAACATTATCAAGTTTCAATTTTTCCTCTACAAAGCAAGAGAAAAAGAAGAGAACGAGAGAAGCCGAGCTTTTCGAGGAAGAGAGGAACCCTTCAAAGCCCTTCAACACATTTCCTATATGAGTCGATTCTTGAAGATAGCTCTCCAATTCATAAACCTAAGAATACAAAGAACCTTAAAAATTTTCTCTCGAGTATGGGCACTATTACGATTTCTCTATGAAATGGACAAATTCCAAGTTCTGAATTTACATTGCTCGAGAGACTTTTATGAGCCCTAACCTATTTCTCGATGCTCCGCAACTCTTGCTGGAGCTTCTCTCGCTTGTTCAAGAGAGAAGTAAGCATCGCACCAGGATCCACCGAACTCTTTTGCCCTAAAGACATTTCAGGGGATTTTTTTCCCCAAATCGATCAGCTTTTGCCCAATCCGGAGATGGGTTTTCGCTAAAATTGAATGCCTGACCTGACTTGAGTCGATTGTGACGAAGATGATTGTTTGGGGATACAAATTGCGGGTTTTCAACGGTTAACATCGTGTTTCAATGTTTCCTTGGAAGAAAATTCTTTTTTTTTGGTCAAAGGGGAAGAAAATTCAATCTCGCAAAATTCTATTATCTTTTTTATTTATCTTTATTTGGAAATTCCATCTTGGACGCCACATACACTAGATCTGACGGCAAGTTCACACTGTTATTCCAAAAATTGGTTTACGCACAAAAAAGTAATATTAAGGCTGAAATTCAAATTAATTAGAAGATTAAGTATGTTCAAACATCATACATAAGTTCTGGGATAAATTTAACATTCTTCCAAAAGTTAAGGTAGAAAAAAGCCAATTTTCCCAGAACTGTTCAATGAACGAACTTGTAAGAAAAAAAACTTGTAAAAAAGATATTAAACACGATTCAATGACAAAAATGCAATACTTATCACTGGTGCGTGTGACTTGTCGCAAATGGTCGTACCATAAGAACATATGTAGTGGGGAGTTCTCATGAAAGTTTTTCACCTATAAAAATAATAAAATAATATATAATTATAAAAATCTCTCTAAAAGATGAAGAAAATTTTTATTTAAAAGATTTTGGAAAAGGTTCTCAACTTTCCTGAGAAACCATCACAATTAAATAATATTATTAATTATTTTATGATTTTTTATGTATGAGAGATGAGAGATCCAGCGATACCAATGATCTAAGCTCATGTATCGTTCAATTTAATTTGCTGAATCATTGAATAATGTCAATAATGTATATATTTTTTGTTTAGCTTTGAATCACCGAAATTTCGTAGAAACAGAAAAACAGAGATCAAACGATAACGTTTCAACTGTCAAATTGACAACTGTTTCAACTGATTGGTAACCGTCAGTGTTACCCAACGAAATAGATTCTTTGTGCGTTTGTCAACATTTAACGCTACCGCAATTTCAATCCACGCGCTAGAATTCGCACGTAAGAAGTCTGGATGACGTCACTATTGTCGCAAGCGGTTAACTGTTCGGTGGAGTAAGACTCCACGTGTCGTTTAACAACGTTATGAATGGGAGTCACGCGCTAGCATTCGCGAGTGTGGCTAATAAAATCACATCTTGTAAACCGGTAATTTCTTGTGGTTCAAAAAACGGTTTAAGGAGAATCTCTCTGAAGATCCGTTACTTGTGCACCGGCCAGAGCTAAAGAGATGTGACACGTGTCGATTACGATTCCGTGAAAAATGGTCTTTAGATCTTCTCAGTTCTTCAATTAATTTTTCGACGGAGGAGATAATGTGAATAAATTGCGGAATGGATAAATCGGTATGCAGGAGACAAAATGCAATAAATGGTGATACACACTAATCGTTGACTGATTCTTGTAAAGCAAAGGAAGGAAAGAAAATTTATTATTGAATAATTTAACTAAAACATACGACAATATTCGGTAGATAGATTATTAGTTACCAACTAAAATATCTAAACGTGTATTTGGTAAGTCAAATACGCGTACGAGGTATTTTATCATTTCTTTATTTTGTTGCCGTAAAGTAGCCTTTTATTTTTGTAACTCGGTCGATTTTATTTTGTTGAGCTAGTGCAACTAAAAAACTCAGCAAGTCACACACATCGCTCGATAACAATTTTTTTAAAAAAAGTTATAGTGAAATAGCATGTCAAATAGTTATTTTCTGATAGTCAAAAGTCACGGTCAGAAATGAAATTTCTAAAATTTTGGATATCTTAGATATTACTAAGACGAACTAATACAAAAGATATTCGAGATTGTCTAAATAATTTGAATACTCGATACATAACATTTCTAACATTGTTTGTAAGGTCTAAAAGGTTTCAAATCATCAACGCGACCTGAAAATCGTTTGTGAAATAGATCTTCTCACTTTCATGCTTACAGTTTGTGTGTACACACCTATTTTTTTTAAAGATGGGCCTTATGAGCCCAAAATGGCTGGGCCGGGTATTACAAAATGTGGTTTTTCCTAACATAAGCGACTTTTTCAAGTTTTGGTATTGATGTAGGAATTTGAAGCGATTAGTGGAGATTTTGATTTCTTAGTGTTATCTGGATTTTTTTTAGGTTAGTCTATCATTTCCGGACTATCCATCTTTGATTTGGTACCTTGATTGTGTATCGTTCAGATTTTTCAAGGAATCGATTATCTCTGTCCCCGAAAATCTGCAATTTTTGTTCTTCAAACTGTGTTTTTGTTCTTTCTCCATTGATATTTACAGAATCGTGTGGTACGATTCCAAAATTGACTTCCTTTATTCAAGAAAATGGATGAAGAAGCTCATTTATTGAATAGCCAGACAAGAACTTTATGTTGGACCGTTTTTTACTTAAAGCTAATGGGCTTAGTAAAATGAAAATGGGTGAATAAGAAATGGGCCATAGTGAATTGGCTTAGCTCAAGTTGGAGCTGCGGGTGGGTTGCCGGGTCGGGTTAAAACGCAGAAACCAAGCTCGATCTTCTTCTGCGTGATTCTCTGTTTCCATGATTTCCTGAGAATCAGCGTCATGGAGAGATTGCTGGAGAAGATCTTGAAGCCCACTTCCTTGGATTCGCGTGTTGATTTCAAAATCAAAGCTATCCATAAATCTCTATATAAAGAGACATAGAGACGTCGTCTTCTTCACCTCTTCTTCACCGAGAAACCAAAAAGTTTCATAACTAAAATCCAGCAATCTCTCTATCTTTTAAGTAAGTGTTGTTTGAGAGTATCGTAGAAACGAAGTTCGTTTAGAATCCGTGTTTTTCTGTGTGCTTTTAAAACCGGATTTGAGTGATTGTATCCTGCGGCTCTTGAATTAAAGAATCCCGTCGCACTGCGGGTGATTCAAAGAGTTACGGAAAGAGATTTATTATCTCGCCTTCACTCAATATCTCTTACCGTAACGTTTAATCGTTTATGCTGTTCTTGTATGTCAATCACACTTCCGTAGTGTTAATAATTTTCTGCTCCTACACTTTAAGCTTTTCGAAGAGAAAAAATCAAGAATCTGGTTTCCAGGATTCAGACAGTAGTAAACCATCTCCGTCTAAAGCACACGGACCAAAACCCTCTGAGGTTTACGGTTTTGTAGGATCATTGTGGACTATTGTTGCCACTGTCATCTTCTTGATTTGGGCATATGTACCAGATAAGTTCTTGGAGTCTATAGGCATTTATTACTACCCAAGAAAGTACTGGACCATGGCTATGCCGACGTATTCGATGGTGATTGTGTTGTTAGCTTTGGGGTTTTACATTGCTCTCAACTTCATGTCTACTTCAAACCCAACCTCTCTTACTACTTTGTTTGGTGAGCCACACGCCCTTCACTTCGATTTTTGGTGATAATCAAATCTGTTTGAGATATGTTCTTCGAGCTAGAATGTTTAAATGTTTGGACTTTGATTGTGATGATGACTGTCCTTTGGCTTTGCTTGTTATGACAGATGATTACAGCAGAGAAGCTGAGAATCTTGACCCGGAGATGAAAAAAGGGAAGACTTGCCAATAGATCCAATCTCTGATATTAATATTACAAGATTAAACGATCTTATGTTCAATTCTTCGAGTCTCGCCAAGTCTTTGTTTGAAAGCTGAGATAATAAGTAATAAGTAAGCTGTTTTAATTAGTTTAGTCGTAATGGATTGTAGCATTAGTGTCTGAAAACTGTTCATTGTTCATCAAATTCAAAGGAAAAACATCTGGAATGTTGTTGTTGTAGAGGGAACTGACTTAGTTATATAGAAAAACTCGATAGTTTTTATTAAAGTCGACTAGTACATCATATCTATTTTAATCAGCATATCTGCAGTACAAACACTTAGAACAAAGTCTTGGTTTTGCCTGCAGTGTTTGGTGGCTTCACAGATTCAGCCTAAAGCAAACAATTATTGGTTTTGCCTACAGTGATTGGTGGGATCACAGGTTCAGACAAAATCAAACGGTTACTGGTTTTGCCTGCAGTGTTTGGTGGCGGTTCAGCCCAAAGCAAACGGTTACTGGTTTTGCCTGCAGTGATTGGTGGTATCACAGGTTCAGACAAAATTAAACGGTTAGTGGTTTTGCCTGCAGTGTTTGGTGGTGGCTTCACAGGTTCAGCCCAAAGCAAACGGTTACTGGTTTTGCCTGCAGTGTTTGGTGGTGGCTTCACAGGTTCGGCCCAAAGCAAACGGTTACTGGTTTTGCCTACAGTGATTGGTGGGATCACAGGTTCAGAAAAAATCAAACGGTTACTGGTTTTGCCTGCAGTGTTTGGTGGCGGTTCAGCCCAAAGCAAACGGTTACTGGTTTTGCCTGCAGTGATTGGTGGTATCACAGGTTCAGACAAAATCAAACGGTTAGTGGTTTTGCCTGCAGTGTTTGGTGGTGGCTTCACAGGTTCAGCCCAAAGCAAACGGTTACTGGTTTTGCCTGCAGTGTTTGGTGGTGGCTTCATAGGTTCAGCCCAAAGCAAACGGTTACTGGTTTTGCCTGCAGTATTTGGTGGTGGCTTCACAGGTTCAGCCCAAAGCAAACGATTACTGGTTTTGCCTGAAATGTTTGGTGGTGGCTTCACAGGTACAACCCAAAGCAAACGGTCAGTGGTTTGTGCTGGAGAAGCTCTTGGTGGATTATGTGAACTCCCTGGAGAAGGTCCAGACCGGTGCAGAGCCTTGGTTTGGTCTGGAGTGGTTGCATCAAGGACACTAGCGAAGAGGAGACTATACAATATCACGAGAACTAAAGCTAGTTTCGCCATTGCTAACTTGTTTGAAAACTATTGTAAGATTTTGTTGATCTTGGACTTATGGTTTATATACAGGTTTATATATATTGTGGAAAATCACATCCTCTGTTCAACCTCACATATTAATTGCCATTGGTAATTTTGAAGATCATAGCATTAGCTTTATTTGATACGTGGCCTTGATATCTGATCCAGTGTGTGTTAAAGAAAAAGAAAAAGGAAATTTATAATTTAAATTAGCCTGATTCTGAGTTAGTAAATTCCACCACATACTTTTCGAGATTCTGTTTTCTTTTTTTTCTTTTTTTTTTTTTTTTAGATTCTGTTTTCTTTTGTTATTAATGTTTTTGGAGTTATCTGAATATAATTTAGGATGGAATGACAAATTGTAAAATTTTAAAGGCAAACTTCATGAAAAGCTGATTTTAACGTTCCGTGTTAATTATTATCAGATTTTGTTGCTTTTACTATAAACTGGAGAAGATAAAGTTTCCTTTATTTGGCAAATAAAAGTACAGTATTAGGTTCTTTCATCTTTTTGGTTAAAATTGGTTAAGAGATATATTTTTCTGATCGTTCTTCTAAATCATCTTTGACGTAGGCCTTTTGACCGCTGTCATATTGACGTAGAGAACCCAAATCTTGGTCAGTAACTACATATTTCTATAACATTTAATCGCAAGGTTTAAGTAAGACATACAATTATTTTAGATGAAAATATGGCAGCACAACAGTACCAAGATGAAAGATTTTTGTTAGCATGTCTCAAAAGGCCATAGCTAACATCCTCTGTTTATGTTATGTTGATCTTGGGAGCACAACATTTTGTTGATCTTGGGTTTCTGTTTTATATAGTGGTTTAAATATTGTGGAAAATCACATCCTCTGTTCAACTTGGAATAGTAGTTGGAAGTTCTTACAATCAGAGTAAAAATAAGATCATAGGCACACTTTTTGTTCAAACACGAACACAGACCAAATCTTTGAAGACTTGTAGATAAGCATGGTGTTATTGTCATCATCACTATTCACTAATTAACTTTGTTTAATTTGTTTGCCTACTTTTGTTTACTTTGGCTACAATCAGAGAAAGACGAAGCAGAGAAGCAATTCAAGCAGTTTCGAAGATTGGTTCCAGAGAATCATCCATATAAAAGAGTATTTTGATAACAAGCTTTTCGCAAATATTCGGTGAAAAACAAACAAAACTGAGCTTTGACTCCAAAGTCCAAAGTTTTGAGTTTTGTTGAATGCTTAAAGATATTAACGGGTTTTTATTTGGCATAATCTTTTCTTAATATACACGAAAATGTGATGAATGCTATGAATAATAGTGAATTCGGGTTTTAAAACTTGATGTTCAATTCTTTTATTTAAATTATCCATCAGATTTCAGATATCAAATCTTAAGGCATACATAATTTTACTCATGACGATATTGATCATAACATTCATACGGATTTGGACACTTTGCTATGTGGTGGTCTTCTAGGCCATATCATACCATTTGTCGCATGTGGTGGTCTTCTAGGCCAGATCATACCATTTGTCGCATGTGGTGGTCTTCTAGGCCATATCATACCATTTGTTGCATGTGGTGGTCTTCTAGGCCAGATCATACCATTTCTCCCATATGGTGGATTTCTAGGCTCACTAGCTTCAATGGCACAAGCGAAGAGAAGACCAAACAAAATCACCAGAACTAAACTTTGCTTTTCCATCACAAAAATTACTTGTCAAATTTCAATATCATTTGATATGGTATGAGAGGGTTTATATAATCACCACAGGACTCTCAACGCTGACTAAAGTTGATAATATTTTATGATATGGATTTTGTTAATTAATTTCTCAGGATTTATTTCCATAAAAAAGTTGATTTTTCCATCACAATTTCACTTTTCAAGATCCTTTATTGAATAATAACAATATGATTTAGTTAGGATTTCAAAATCATAAATGGAACAGTATACTCTAACAAATTATTTTCTAAATCAGTGATTGACTAACTTATAATTAGTAGTACTTACTTTTTTTTGCAAGATTATTTTTTGGACATTATTTAATCAACTAAATGATAACTAGATTGTAATCCACTTTTGGCTGATTTGATATTATAACATTTTTCTTTTGCAAATTATGGTGTTTGGAGACTACTTTAATAATATAGAAAAATTACAGATATACTTTTAATAAGATCTGTTTGGCTGCTTAATTATGCTTTAATAGTATATAGATATTAGATGTCAAAAATAAATAAATGATCATATTTTTTTAACTCCCCAATATGTACTATTTTTAGATTTAAAAAAAAAACTCTCATACTATTACCAATACTACCAACACACAATTTGTTTTTTGTCGTCTAATCATTTTACTACGATAAGCCTAAAACAAGCATTGACATAATGAGATTAGTGGCCCAAAACCTTACACTTTGAAACCCAATTATCAATCTATTATATAACCCATAACATAAAGATAATGATCGATAATCGTAAAACACATGCTATAGACGTGGCAAAAATGTTGGTTAACGGTGAGAAGATGCCACCAACCTCGTCGCCGATAAAGAGCTTCACCAGAATACCGATAATCTAAAGATTTTGAAACTGTATTAGTTAACTCTATCAGATCTAGCATTCTCCTCTAAATCGGTGCTCTTTCACCGTTTGTTTCCTCCTCCAATTGGAGCTAGTGTGTAATTTAGCCGGAAAGAGAGAAAATCAATAAATTAAACTAGCAAAAGGATTTCGACAGACGAAAGAGAAAAAATTTGAACTGGTCAGAGATTATTATCTATTAAATGGAAGAGAAAATTCGACTCTCTTTCTCAAAAGATAGAGTTGAGAAAAAAGAGAAAGAGTAAAAAAATTCTCGTGTAAGTATTCTATCAATACAAACACATAATTAAACACGGGAAAGAGAATAACATTTTCACAAATTCAGCATAGAAAAATTAACAGAGGAAAAAGAAATTACTACTAAATAATTCAGGCCAAAATTGTGCATTTTTAACTTTAGAAATATTTACCAACACAGTTAAAATCATGTCCATCATGGGTTTAGATAGGATTCATGATACAGTTTCTTAGATAAAAATATATTTTTAAAAAATCTATTTTTGAAGAATTGATTTTTAGGGCATCTCCAACCCTACCCCATTTCTTCCTTCAAATGTCATTTTGGAAGAAAGTCTTTTACAACCCTACCCCATTTTCACCTGCAAAATGGAGGAATGCCATTTTTTCCTCCAAATATGGAGTAATCCCATTTTTAACTCCATTTTGCAGGTGAACTTTTTTATTTATAAAATAGTCCTTTATTTTTCATAAATTCTTAAAAATATTTTTTTTAATTTATAATTTAATCATTTATATTATAGATATTTAATTTTAAATTAAAGATAGATAGATTTAAAATTTGAGAATAGAAAATAAAAAAATATAAAAAGATTGACTGAAACTAGAAATAACATCAAATTAAAAATACATAAAAGTACTGAAATTACATAAAATAAATTTATTACAACAACTGATTAATATTTCTCCAATCGCGATTTGCTATTGTGAAAGGTCCAGTTTGTTTTTGGAAAAAAAATATGTTAAATGACATAATGACTACATGTATAATTCTACATAACATGATAGTCGAGGATAAGCGTGATCTTGATGCACCGATTAAAATTGGAAGCGAAGCTCCACCTCCAGAGGTAGAAGTAGCTAAGGACGAAATTATCCGGTTCCAAAATTTTCTTGCTCGATTCAGAGAAATCAAAGATAAAAACGCTCATTTTTCACTTTGAAATGTTTTAATTGATCATTTGTGAAAAGTTTGAAGAGTTCCGGCTCTTAATCATATGAAAGCGTGTGATTGGTCGAAAAAAATTTCGAATTTTTATTTAAAAAAAGAATTTTTTATTCTTGGTGAACCCTGTAAATGAACACTGATTTTTTCTTTTTTTAAATCCAAAAAATAATAATATTAAATTCTTAAAAACCCCCTTTTAGAGGTTCATTTATATACACGTTATGTCTCCCTTAACGGTAACTTTTTTTCTTTGCAGCGAAGTCTATGTTAAACAACGTCATTCCTACACAAACGATTAAAAGCACGAAAACAGAGTATTTGATTTCTTATTTTCTAACATAAGAATTGATAACTAATAGTTGCAACCAATCCATCAAAAAATAAATATTTTCAAAAGAAATACTTTGATTGTTTTTTACCTTTCAAAATTAAATATTTTCAAAACAAACCGTGTGCAATTATTTTGATTCGAATGACTTGATGGTTTTGTAGCTTTTATTTAAACATAAAAAGAAGAAGATAATATATATAAAAAAGATTGTAAATAAATCAATAATAGAATTTTACTTAAATTTTTCAGTAAGAAAATTTTCTAAGCAGGTTATTTAGCTGAGAATTTTGACCCTGAGATGAAGAAAGGGGAAGACTTGCCAATAGATCCATCTCTGACATTGATATTACAAAGAATAAGCGATCTTATGTTCAATTCTTCGAGTCTTGCCAAGACTCTGTTTAAAATGAGTTTTGATAAATAAGCTGTTTTCATCAGTTTAGTAGTAATAGATTGTGGAATTAGTGTCTGGGAATAGTATCTTGTTCATCAAATACGAAGGAAAATTAACAACAGTATAACAATCTGTTACATCTGGAATGTTGTTGTTGTGAAGTCTGAAGGAGATTCGGGTGCGAGTGATTCAGGCTTAAGAATCTGGTTGGGAGACATTGGTTAATGTTTACGTAAATACACAGTAAATGGTGTTTTTGAGAAGAAATCAGGCTTAGAAATCTCGGTTTTTTCTATTGTTTTCAGAGAGAGGATGACTTGAAATTTGCATCATATTTGAACTTCAAGATTTGTATTGGATCTATAAAGCAAAGTAAATCTGGTGTGTGTTTGTGCTTTGTAGGGTTTTAGGTTTACATCAAATGCAGTCAAAATGTGTATGGTGGCGTGTTCTGTTATCTCAAGTGGTTAATATAGAGTAGAGAGACTAAACATAGACCATTGCTAATTTGGTTAAGAAAAATTCTGTCATTGGCTAATTTTGGGGTCATTTCCAATACTGGTAGTTTTTCTCATCCAGGAAAAAAAAAACAAAACAAACTTTCAAACAAAACCAAAGCGAATCTCCTCCAAAAAAGGAAAAAAAAATCTTTCCATCTTCTTCCTCCTAAACAGGCAGAGGATGATGATGATCTTCATCAAGATCCTCGTCTCTTGAACCCAAAATAATTTCCATTTACAACCTTGTTTCTGTACATAATAATTGCATAAACTTCGAGATTATTGGTTGAAGCAAATATAAAAAAATGAATGATTTATTCTCTAGTTCGTTCAAGAAGTACTCGGACCTGAAGCAACAGGCCCAAATGGACGATCTTGAGGCAGGTAAAGAGACAATGAACCTCGATAAATTCTTCGAAGATGTTGAAAATGTCAAAGACGACATGAAGGGCGTAGAGACTCTTTACATGAAGCTTCAGGATTCGAACGAGGAGTGCAAGACGGTCCACAATGCCAAGAAGGTTAAGGAACTAAGAGCTAAGATGGATGGAGATGTCGCTCAGGTTCTCAAGAGAGTCAAGATCATCAAGCAAAAACTCGAGGCGCTCGAAAAGGGGAATGCTAATAGCCGTAATGTCCTTGGTTGCGGCCCTGGCTCTTCCACCGATAGAACCAGGACCTCTGTTGTTAGTGGACTAGGGAAAAAACTCAAGGATTTGATGGATAACTTTCAGGGTTTGCGTGCGCGGATGAATGATGAGTATAAAGAAACAGTAGAACGCAGGTGAAGAAAATCTTTCTCCCTTTCTTCTCCCTTTTTCCTTGCTTTATTCGCTTCCTTGGGATATAAGTTACACGCTATGCTTTAACCTTACCTTGGGTTACAAGTTATTATTTTAATCTATCCTTGTTCAAATTTTTGCAGATATTTCACGATAACAGGTGAAAAGGCGGACGAACAGACGATTGAAAATTTGATTTCGAGCGGTGAAAGTGAGAATTTTCTCCAGAAAGCGATACAAGAGCAAGGGAGGGGCCAAATATTGGACACGATATCAGAAATTCAAGAAAGACACGATGCTGTCAAAGAGATAGAGAAGAATCTTATTGAGCTACACCAAGTGTTCTTAGACATGGCGGCTTTGGTGGAAGCACAAGGGCAGCAACTAAATGACATAGAAAGCCACGTGTCTAAAGCGAGCTCGTTCGTGAGAAGAGGGACAGATCAGCTCCAAGATGCGAGAGAGCACCAAAAGAGCTCTAGGAAATGGACTTGTTACGCTATCATTCTCTTTATCGTCGTCTTTGCTTTGCTTCTCATACCTGCCTTACCTCATATCATGCTCATGTTGAATTGATCTTTTTTTTTTTTTTTGGGGGATAGAATCTCGCTTATAATTTTATGTTCTCATCATAATTTGAATGGTAAGTTTAGGTTTTAATATTCTTACAGCATTTTTTTTTTTTTTTTTCTGATGAATGTTAAATTTTATTCAGAACCAGAAAAAAAAACCGTTTCTACATGAAAATGCGAGCGATTATGTAAAACAAATAATGATCTAACTCAGACCAAGGTCATTGTGTTGGTCTCGAAAAGAACCAGAGTTGGAGACTATCTTCATAGCGGTTGTCTCCCTGAATCCTTATCGAACTAAACCGATTTCGGATACTCTTGTCGCAAAAGTTGATTAGTCTAGCAGGTGATGATGGTTGGGCTCCATGTCTCCTGTCATTTCGCTATCGCCATAAACTATAGATGACTGTTTGAAAGAGGTATTGAATAAGAAAGCTTTTCAGCTTGTTTTGGTGAGGACTCACGAGTAAAGTGGATATGATCGTCCAATCCGTAGAGAAATCGCGATCAAGAATCCCTTTTGCTAAGTTTGTCCAGATCTGAGCGGAATAAGGACATGAAAAGAAGAGATGGCTTCGAGTTTCAAGAGTGTGAAGGCAAAAGCTGCACACACCTTGGATGTTCGGGCTCCAGTGCTGCATACGATCTCCTGTAGATAAACGGTTGTGTTGAGCCAGCCAGGCAATGAAGCTAAACTTGGGGCAATTGTGCTGAAACCAGATAACCGAGACCCAAGGCACCTTGGGAGAAGATAACCGAATTAGATCTCTGGTAGTTTTGGTGTTGAAATGAGTTTTGTATGTTCCTTCCTTTATTTTCCAAAAGAAACGATCTCTGTCTTGTCCCCTGTATCGAGATTTGGCCTCCTCTATCTCATCCTCCACTCTGTTAAGTATGGAGGCACGATGTCGATGTCTCCTATGTCTGAGGATTACATCTTCAACTGTGTCTCCTCTGCGAATACCCAGGTCTATGAAACCTCTTGCACCTATGAGTGGTAAAAGAGGACCCATAGAAGACCAATTATCATACCAAAAGGTGGTACTCCTTCCATTCCCTATTTCCACCTTCAGAAACTCAGCTGCCTGATGTCTTCTTTTCATCATTTGTTTCCAAGACCAAGAGCCCAAGTTCGGGTTGTTGGACTCTGGAAGTAACCAGATGGATGACTCTCTCATGAGATTTACACGAGACCATCTAACCCATAGCGAATGATCTGCAGTAATAAATCGCCATAAAAGCTTAAGGATACACACATCATTTGCTTCCCGAAGATTTTTCAATCCCAATCCACCCTCTGCTTTGGGTTTGCAGACTGCACTCCATGCTAGTTTAGCTTTCCTCGGATTGAGATCAGTCCCAGACCACAGGAACGCTGAACAGATCCTCTCAATCTCATCAAGACACCCATTTGGCAACCGGAACGCTGACATCCAAAACCCTGTAATGCCCGCGATCACCGACGAAAGAAGTTGGAGCCTCCCTGCGAAAGAGAGAGCTTTAGCTGTCCAAGAAGTAATCCGACCCTTTATGTTACCAATCAAAGGTGCATAATCCAAAGTCCTCATCTTCTTTGTGAGAAGCGGCAACCCCAGGTATCTCACAGGAAGTGATCCAAAAGCCAGAGGGAACCTTTGAGCTATATTAGCCCTTACCAGTTCAGATACTCCCGCCAGAAAGTCTGTAGATTTTTCAAGACTGATTTGCAAACCCGATATTTTTGAGAAGTCTCAAATACCTTGAAAATCCCCTCTAACGACATATCAATTTCCCATCCGAAAAATATCATCAAATCGTCAGCGAAACACAAATGCGTTAATTTCAAGTTCGAACATTTAGGATGGTATCCGAATCTTCTCTGAGTCGCTGCATTATCAAGCAATTTAGATAGGACATTCATACAGATGACGAACAAGTACGGTGACAAAGAACAGCCCTGCCGCAAACCCCTCGAACTCCCGAAATACCCAGCAAGCTCCCCGTTAACCTGAACCGAAAAAGATGCGGTGGAGACGCACAGCCTGATCCAATGAATATACTTCGCAGGAAAATTCAACGCTTCAAGAGTATTCAGAAGAAACCTCCATTGAACAGAATCGAAGGCTTTGGAGATGTCGATTTTTAACGCACATCGAGCAGATATCGTATCTTTATGGTACCCAGAAACAAGTTCTGAAGCAAGAAGGAGGTTCTCTATCAAAAGACGATCGCGAACAAAAGCCGATTGGTTTGGGCAAATGAAACGCGGAAGCAGCCTTTTCAAACGGTTTGCTAGAATCTTCGATATCAGCTTATGGATTACATTACAGCAAGCTATTGGCCGGTAATCCTTCATATGTTTGGCTCCTTCTTTTTTCGGTATCAGAGCGAGAATAGTCGAGTTTACACCCTTAGGCAAAAAACCCTTTAAGAAAAAGGATTGAACACTCACAACCAAATCTTTACCAAGAATTGACCAGCTCTCCTTGAAAAACTCAACCGTAAACCCGTCAGATCTGGGTGACTTGTTCGCAGCCATTTTGATCAGAACATCTTTGATTTCAAGCTCAGTGACATCAGCTATTAAGCGATCCTGATCCTCAGGGGAGCAGTGAAACTCAAAAAGTGACCCAATATCAGTAGCTGAAATATCTTGAACATCCTCAGGTACATGATTAAGAAATCCCGAAAAATGGTTCACAGCCATCTCCTTTATCTGATGTTTCTCACTTATGAGAGTTCCATCGCTCGCCTCCAATTCCCTGATACCATTCTGACTTGTTTTGATTTTCACTGCCCGATGATATATCTTTGTGTTCCTATCTCCCACATTCAACCAATTAAGCTTCGACTTCTGATGTAGATATCGCTCCTCCAAATTTGCCGCATTTTCCCATCTCGCAAAAGCCACAGACTCTTCCTGTTGCAAGAGCTCCGAAGGAGCCTGTAGATTTTGCTCTTGTTTTGCGCACAGATCATCGTAATTCAATTTCACCTGAGCAGATATATCACTTAGCGCCTCCCTTGAGATTTGCCGGACTATAGGCTTTAGGTGTTTGAGCTTCTTTGAGAAACGATACAAAGCGGACGTGGAATGAAAAAGAGGATCCGTTCCAGCCCAATAGCTCTTCATAGCCTCTTGAAATTGAGTAGGGAAGCGATGACATTTGTAAATTTAAACGGCCTCCTTGGTTTAGAACTCTCCCCATTCAGATAGAACCTACATCGCAGGTGGTCCGAACAGCCACCCGCCTCAAACACAGAGAAGGCATTGCGAAACCCATCTAGCCACTGATCATTGATTAGTAACCTATCCAGTTTTTTGCAGACCATACCCTCTGATCTCTTATTGCACCAAGTGTATAAAGGACCATGATAACCCAGGTCGCTGAAATCACCATCCCGAACCACTTGCTGAAAATCATCCATCCCATTAGTGTTTAAAAATCCCGCATTCTCAGAGAAATGTTCGTCCCTCGTCAAGATCTCATTAAAGTCACCCATCATCGCCCATCTCATTCTCCTGAAGATTGGGGAAGCAAGATGGCATCTAATATCTGTCCAAAGTTCTTTCCTGTCTTCTGCAAAATTCGACCCATAGATGAAAGAGCACAAAAATTCTTCTTCTTCGCCTGGAACTTTAACCGTTACCGTAATCATTTGTCTGCTTTTGTAAACTGGTGTTAAGCGCACCGACTTGCACCAAACCACCCATAATCTGCCCAAACAATGATGTTCGTAGTTATTTAAGAAAGACCAGCCAGGAAAAACAGATGAAACAATATCATCAGCTCTGCTTTCCTTCACCCACGTTTCAATCAATGCTCCAAATAGAAAATCATTTGAACGACACCAACTCTTGACCACGTTATGCTTTTTCCTTTTGTTAAAACCTCTCACGTTCCAAAAGAATCCAGACATATTAATGGCGTCTATTGGGGTTATTCTTCTTCTTCTTACCCGACCCCTGATTGGCTTTTGCCACCGGACTCGACTTAGAAGGTGCCCTCACAAACTTATGCGTTGATTTGGACCCACGAGGAAGAGGTATCCGACTACCAACTCTTGCAGTTATTTGCATCTCTTTCGGTGGGTTCCCCTCTGCATCATCTTCTTCAACCTGAGTGCCCTCATCTATTTCGTCTTGTGTCTCATGTACTTCCTCTATTTCTTACAGCATTTTCTTTATTCTAAAATCTTTAAAAGAAATATTAATTAACCTTTGAAGAGAATCTTCTACATAAAAATCCTTATAGATTTTTTGACGCATTTTACTTCAAACAAATTGGAATTAAACAAGTCTTTGACGTGTTTCACTTCAAACCAATTGGAATATGTATCACATGTAAATTTATTGTTTAATATATGTATTAAGTATTAATCGAAGTAATCAATAAAGTCAAGAAATATGGAAAGTCCTATTTTATTTTTATTTTTTATCGTCTGTGGTTAATTATTGATTGTAAGATGAAAGTACAAAAACAGCTTCTCAAAAGCAGAGTATCAAACACCTAAGTGTAGGGTTTTAAAATACTCCTAAGTAAAACCGAACCTAACGAACAAGATTAAGCAACCAAGCTGGCCCACCCCTAGCCAGATAAAATTGAAATCTGCTATCCCGGATCACAATTGCTCTTACTGCTCTGTTCGCCCCAGTTGACTCATGTTCAATGGATATGAAAGAAAACCCAGAGCAAAGCTGAGAAACTTGTTCTGTAAGGGTGTGAAACAATCGATGGATTTTGAGATTGCCTCTATCATCATACGAAAATCTGACATGACGGTGACTTCCGTAATGTGCAAATCTCGCAAACACTGAAGGGTCCAAATCAATCCACGAAGCTCCACGACCAGTCTATTTGGAGAGGGTGTGAAGGCCTCTCTAGCATGAAATAGGACAGAGCCTATGTGATCTCGTATAATCCAAGCTCCTCCACTATGAAGCCTCTCATTCCTCTAATTGGCATTCATGTTACATTTGGCAATACCCACCAAAGGAGGATGCCACAAAGAATCGACAAGACCAGTTAAATTCCTGTTACGATCCTCTGTTTCTATGGGAGCATTCAGTTTATTCCATAGGTCCGCTTCCTCTTGTGATCGATGCACAATCACCACTGTGGCTTCTTGCTGATTGGCAAAGAGAATAGAGTTCCTGTTCTTCCAAATATGCCACAGCACCCAAGGTAAAGAGTTTTGAATCTCCTTTCCTAGTGTCGAGTCATCCATAGCATCCAACAGAAAAGCCACATTACTATACAGATCCCATGAAGAACCAGATACCGGAGCTGGTAGCTGTACAAGCTGCAGGATCTGTTGAGCAGAATCACATTGGAACATGACATGATTGATTGATTCCACGTTTTTCTGGCACAGACGACAAGTGTTATTCAAGATTACGCCTCTAGTGGAAAGACGATCCGCCACTGCTAGAGCTCCTGCAACTACCCTCCACCAAAAGACTGATTTTTGGAGTCTTCCTTAATTTCCAAACCCGCCGTTTGAGCTCTGTTTTCAACTGCTCTTGTGGAGGTGACACGGAGGGGGTATCAGAGGGTGATGAGTGGCAAACCAGTAACCACTATTAACTGCATAAGACCCATTCTTCGTATATGCCCAAATATAGTGATCCGTCGAGTTACCAATAGGGAGTTTCAGAATTCGAGCAGCATCAGCCGGAGGAAACAAATCCCGAATTGCATTTTCTCTCCATCTTCCATTGGATATCAAGGAGCTCACCTTTAACTCGAGATCATAGAAGATCTGCTTGTTCACTGGTCTTCTCGGGTGCTCATCCATTACCCATTTCTCCATCCATATCTTTGTGGACTGTCAATTGCCAATGGACTTGATAAGGCCCCTCGATAAAAGTTCTCTGCCGAACAAGATGCTACGCCATGCATATGAAGGCCAAAAGCCTTGACCACAATCCAAAAAATTCTTTGAGGAGAAATATCGTCCTTTGTACAGACGAGATACGAGACTCTCGGGGTTATTTAGAATCCACCATGCTTGTTTCGCAAGCAACGCCTGGTTAAAAGATTCCATGTCCCGAAAGCCCATACCTCCGTTCTGCTTCGATTTACACAGATACTTCCATGCCACCCAATGAATTAGTTGAGCCGTTTACTTCCATGTCCTATTCTACTTCCATGATTTACACATATACTTCCATGTCCTATTTTATTTTGTCTGCTGAATTAGTTGAGCCTTTTGTTGATATAAGAAAAAAGAAACAAATATCCAGTCCAAAATATACAAATATATAATTATTTTCATCGGCAAAAAAGATACGAATTAGATAGTAATGAAGAGAAATAATGTGATCCAGTACACGTTCAACATTTTTTCTTTCTTTCATATTGTTTTTTTTTAAATTGCTTATTTAATGTCAATCGTTAGTAAATGATTCTTGATATATCATAGGTTTTTAGGTTTTTGACCATGATATAAGTTTTATTTATAGAGTTTTTTTAATGTTTTTGAATCTTTTAAAGTCTTTTTAGGTCCTATGTACGTTTGGAGCTTAAGTGGAGATTTTGGAGCATTTTGGAGCTAAACAAGGATCAAATTCGTGAAGAATGAATTATTTGCCCTGGTGTCGCTCGACACCACTGATGTTGTCGCTCGACACCACTGATGGTGTCGCTCAACACCCATGTTGTGAATAAGGAAAAAACATGATTTTGTCCAAGTTTTGAAGAATCTTTTGGGCCCAGAAGTCTCTAATATTTACAAGGAATGCCAACTGATGTTTTTAGTATTTTATTAGGGTTTTCAGCCACCTGTTTTGGCGACACCTTAGATTTTCTTCGTAGACCTTTTGATTTTTGTTCATCGATACTTAAGAGCTTTGGGGGAGACAAGTCTGAGACTCGGTTAGCTTGAGGGAAGATTTTGAACCTCTGTTACTTAATCTATCTAATTCTTTCTGCAATCTATTTAAGCATGTTTCTTGTTACAATTTTTATGTCTGAGTAGTTTGTTTGTTAGGTTTAGGGTTCTCATAAAGGATCTCTTTGGGTTATAGATAAATTGATTGGTTAGAGTTCATAATCTGATTAGTTCTTCACCATAGGTTATTCTTAAACCTAATTCTGGACTGACCACCTAGAACTTAGATACTAGATTAATTGATTGACACGAAAGTGTAATTGAATAATCTGACATAACCTAGGGTGAGCAACTTAAAGTAGCTATCCACAAAGAAATTTGGTTTAGATACTTTGTGAATATATCGAACCTGCACTTAATGCTTGTTTAGTCTTTAGAATTTGTAAAAAAATTTGGAATTATGAGATTTAGACTTAGAAAATTCTCGCAACGAAAGTTTGTTAATTATAATTTCGTGATTTGAGTTCAAGAACCGCGCTTAAACCTGAATCCTGGTTAATTGATTTGTCTGCATTCTTTGATTTCCTGAGAAAAATCCTGAATCTATTCTTTCCCATCGAGTTTACAACCGTTTTTAAATTGCTGCTTTTAATTTCATCGTGATTGCTTAGCTTAATTCAAATATTAAACTAAGCAATAATCTAAAGTTAATACGACATCTTAACATAATGGTGACTAACACTACTGCGACCTAGGCCTTCAACATCCCGTTTATAAGGCACACAAAACATGCATGTGATTTAGGTTACCTTTTATATTTAGTTATTTTAGAAAGTTGTGTTTTTGATTTTGGCTTCGAATGTTCTTGGCAACTGTATGATATAACCTTTTTTCAGTCTTTGTACGTATTCTCTCTCTTTTAATTTCAAAATATAGAACACTTTTTTTTGTTTCCAATCATTTCTTGCTTTTTGTTTTCAAATGCTATTAGAATCTATTTTGTTTCGAATACTATGGTATGAGTTTTATAAAATTTATTAGGTAACTAGATACCTATAATGAGTTAGTAAATTCATCCTCAGAATAATTTATTAGGTAACTAGATACCTACACTATGTTCGATATTTAGATTGCTTACAGCCTTTGATTTCTGGAGCCTTGATTATACTAATCAAGTGGCGGATTCCATTGCAGTGTGCGTTACTCGTGACCAGAGGCATCAATCATATATTGCCCGTGGAGTCTTGGTGGTCCATATTGCCTCTTGGCTTCATCAACTCATTCGTTCTAAAGCCATTGCTGCTTAATTCTCTGAAGTTTTATCTCAGGCATCTCGTTACATTCTCTATATTTGTCTTTTGCTTTTTTTGTTTGTTTCCAGTTTTAACGAGGGATTTATGCCTTTGATTTTCGTTGTAAAATGTTTACTAGCATCGTTTAGTGTACTCTGGTTTATGCTTCTCTTATCAATGAAAGCGTTAACAAAAAAAAGAATTGGTAACATTTGAACAGAAATTTTGTGGTGTAACTTAAGAAGATGAACATTATTTGCAGAGTTAATTTTTTGAAGTTTGTGCAGAAAGAAATACATTTATAGAAACATTGTTAGGTAATTACTGCATTAGACATTAACTCATTTCGCTAGGTAGTTAAGACATTGCGTTTAAGTTATCTCAATATAAATTATGGTGTTAATTTTTTCTTGTCATATGTGTTCTATGATTAGCCTACCTTACATAAATTGGTTTGGATTCATTAATTCTTAACTAGGGCTGAATGTTCTATCGCTTAAAATATTATCATCCTACTTGCGTTAGTCGGTTTGGATTCACTAATCCTTTTTTAGAGTTTATATAGAGCTCTAATGTTTAAAACATTATAGGTAATTACGTTATTTTTTTGCTTTTTATTTTGTTCCTTATAACTATAGATATTATAAATCCTTTTATTATATTTTCATAAATTTAATTATCACATATCAAATAAAAAGGGCAATTCTTTAAAATGGCCCCCAAAAACTAAAGTTTCTTTACTAGAGCCCTTATTTTACAATCAGACGAATTTAGCATTCATTAAGAAACCACGATTATTAGTCACCATCCTCTTCACATAGTGTCTGTTTATTCTGAATCACAGCACTGACCTGTTCAGAAGTCATCATCACTCCTTCCTCATGACTCAGATTATTAGTCACCATCCTCTTCACATAGTGTCTGAGAGTAGGAGCAATCTTCACAGCATCAACCAAAGGAATCTCAATCACAACCTTCTCCATCAAAGCCTTGCATCTGGCATCATCTAACTCCTGTTTGGACTTCCTAGGACTCCTTGGGTAAGGAACCTTAGGTTTGTAAACCTTTTCCTCAGCAGATTTTGGACTTTGAGCAATATCAGCTTTGCTCTGCAATTGGTGACGCGCGACACTGGTTGTGGTGTCGCTCGACACCGGCTCTGCAACTTCAAAATTTTCTTCAGATTCGTCTAACTCCACGATTTCATCCTCAGAAACACCCTTTTTAAGCACAGGAGTCAACTTCTTACCACTCCTTAACGAGATGGCACTGCAGTAATGCCTAGGATTGGTATCAGTCTTCCCAGGAAGGAATCCTTCTTGCCTTTTTACAGACTCTGCAGTCTGAGCAACCTGAGTATCAAGCTTTTTCACATGAGTGTTCAGAGCTTCGACTTTTCCATTCAGATCCAGATACAGAGCATCAATCTTCCCATTGAAATCCACAGTCATCTTCTGCTGACCTTCCAAGATCTGTTCCAGCATAGACTTCACCTCATTATCAGGAGTTTGAGTAGGAGGAGAACCATAGTTCCTTGAAAACCTGTTGTTGGAGTAGGATGTCTGGTACTGAGGTTTGGAGCTGTAACCAGAAGAGTTCTGATTACCTGTGAAGGTACTCCTCTGATTATTTCCATTGTAATTCGTGTTCCCTTGCTGAGTACCAAATCTCTGACCCTGAAATCCAGCTCCATTGATGAAGTTAACATCCTCTTCCTCAGGTGCTTAATCTGGTCCGAAATTCTGAACTTCTGCAGGGTATCTGACAGATTTCTTACCCACTAGAAGGCTATGCACAGAGTCTAGCTTAGCCTTCACCTCAGCAATCTGCGATCCATCCATGTTTCCACCCTGCTTCTTTCGCTGATAGTCTGCATTCTTTGTACTATTGCTAGATGCCAAGTTTTCGATGAGCTCAACAGCTTCGTCTGGGTATCTGGTGTTGAAGTTCCCATTGCTTGCAGCATCAAGAGCCATCTGATATCTCCAATCAACACCTCTGAAGAAAATACCCAACAGCTGAACATCACTGAAACCATGATGAGGGCAATCTCGCTGGTACGACTTGAATCTCACCCAAGCAGCTTTGAACGCTTCAGTTGGTTCCTGAGAGAATGTCGAAATTTTCGTCCTCAACTCCTCAGACCTAGCATCATCGAAAAAGTTGTGCAGGAAAGCATTCCTGGTCTCTTCCCAAGTGGTGAGTGATCCTGGCTCCAACTGCTTCAACCAGTTAGCTGCTTCTCCAGCAAGAGAATAAGGAAACAGCTTGCAGAGGAGGAAATCATTGGACACTCCATTGTATTTGATGCTGGTGACCAAGTCCTCAAACCTCTCGATGTGATCCATAGGGTGCTCATGAGAAAGACCATGGAAAGGATGCTGACCCACAAGAGTGTAATACACAGGCTTGAGCTCAAAATCATTCCTCTGAAACGCAGGAGCGCGAATCGCAGACCGATTTGCATAGAATTGCTCAGGCCTGTTGTAGTCACCCAGCGTCCTGATGATGTTACCCTGTCCATCAAGTCGCTGGCCTCTCATTTTGCACACATGACCCTCTTGGTCTCTCCAGACTCCAGCATCATCACGAATCAATGCCAATGCGTTCTCCATCTTTGCTAGTTTCTGAGACAAAGAGAAAGAACAATGTAAGTAACAAAGCAAAAATAAAATTAAGAAAAACAACGGGTGTCGCACGACACCAATGCTGGTGTCGCTCGACACTAAGAAAAACTTAGTCAAAACTCAAGAACTAAAGTTTAATGGCGAAAATCAAGTCCCCGGCAACGGCGCCAAAAACTTGATCTGCTCAAAGTTTAATCCCTAGAGCTACTCTGCAAGAGCACATATGTGCAATTGTAGTATAATAGGGGTCGAACCACAGAGACGAGAGATTCGCTCAATAAACCTATTAGAAATTGAATTACGCTAAGCAGATTAATGAGAAGCAAATAGCAGTGCAAATAAAGATAAACGAATGCAGTAAAAACGTTTGTAAAGTTCAGATGGGTGGAGATTAGGCTTAGGGTGTTTCTCAGGAAATCAATGCATGCAGATAAATCGATAAATCAGGGTTCAGGTTTAAGCACGGTTCTTGAACTCGAATCACAGAATTATAATTAACCAACTTCCGTTGTGAGAATTATCTAAGTTAAAATCCTAGAATTCCAAATTCCTTTGCAAACCCTAAAGATTTAAACCAGCTTTAATGCTCAAGTTCGATATGTTCACAAAGTATCTAAACCAAATTCCTTTGCGAATAGCTACTTTGCTCACCCTAGGTTCTTTCCAGTTATTCAATTACACTTCCGTGTCAATCAAGCAACCTAAGATCTAAGTTCTAGGTGGCCAGTCCAGAATTAGCTTTAAGAACAACCTATGGTGAAGAACTAAATAGATTATGAACCCTAACTAACCAATCAATCTAACATCCAATGAAATCCTTTATGAGAACCCTAAACCTAACAAGCAAACTACTCAGACATGGAGATTGAAGCAATAAACATGATTGAATAGATTGCAGAAAAGAAATAATAGATTAATAAACAGGGGTTCGAAATCTTCTCTCTCCGGAACAGAGTTTCAGACCTTTCTCCCCAAAAACTCTCAAAAACAAAAGTTCTCTCTAAGAAAATCTAAGGTCTTCGTAAAAAGGGAATAAAAATCCTATATATATCTCTAAGACACGTTTTGGATTTCCTTGGAAACGTTTGGGCCCAACTCCTTCTTCAAATAGGAAACAAAATCGCCTTTTCCTTATTTCTTTGACAAGTGTCGCGCGTCACTCTCCATGGTGTCGAGCGTCACTAAAGCACAAAATCCATTCTTGACGAATTTGATCCTTGTTTAGCTCCAAAGTGCTCCAAAATCACCAATTAAGCTCCAAACGTACATATGACCTGAAAAGACTCCAAAAGACTCGAAAAACACTAGAAAGACTCTATAAATAAGACATATACCATGGTTTAAAACCATAAAAACCATGATATATCAAAAGATCACTTAGGTTCTGAATTCACATGATTTATATTCAAAATGTTATGGTTTTGTCTTTAATGGGTTCTTGCATTAGTCTTCTATGTTTGATCTTGATCATGATTTTGAAGTTGTGATCGACAGTAGCAGGAAACAAACAAAAATTAACCATAGAACTTATGATATGCCGCTCTTCTCATGAACTTTTGATTGACAGTAGCTCTTCTTGTAGATATTTCGTTCTCTAAGAAAAGAAAAAAAAGTGGCATGAATGATTGAATCTTGATCTAGAGAGATTGTGCCAAGAGACCAGCTGAGGCGTTAGTTTTGATGGAATGACCTTTATATGGTTAAAATTTTAGGAAATCTTTATATACATTTATGAAGGTTTTCCTAAAAGTTCAGAAAGACATCCTAACTCTTTTAAAAATGTTAGAAATATTTTGATAAACATTAGTAAAGCTTGTAAACCTATATTGAGTGGAATTTCCTAATCATTAACAAGCATTCACAAACTCGTGTATCTTCTATGGCCTATGCATCACTTCCCTTGAACCTATTTGTGTTGGTTTTTTTTTTTTTTTTGGGGTCATCAGGTTTTATAGCTGAGAGCCTCTCGGAAGAAGAGATTGCTGGTTTAAGAGAAATGTTTCAGGCAATGTATATTGATAACAGCGGTGCTATTAAGTTTGTTGAACTCAAAACTAGGCTGAGGAAATATGGATCAACCTTGAAAGATACAGAGATCCATGATCTAATGGAAGCTGCAAAATCTAATCTCATTTGGCTACAAAACAAAAGTTAATTATTGTGTGTTTTCAGTGACGAGCTCTTGTATTGGCAGGCTGATGTGGGAAACAGTAGGACAATTGATTACAGTGAGTTCATTGCAGCAACGATCCATCTAAACAAACTGGAGCGGGAAGAACATCTTGTCGCTGCGTTTTAATATTTTGGCAGACGGAAGCGCTTCCTAAAACATTAGGAAAACTTTGTAAACCTTTTTAATATTAATGGTTTCTTTGAACTCTTAGGAAACATTCATATAATTCATAAATCTTTGAAAAAAACTTTCATAAATCCTTTTAGTAAGACTTTCCTATCATTTAGGAAAGCATTCCGAAAAGTTTAAAATGACTTCCTAAAACATGAGAAATGCTCTGCAAACCTATTAATGTTTCTAGAGGTTTTGAAACTCTTAGAAAACATATATAAACTCTTCATAAAAATTTGTAGTAAGAATTTCCTAACATTTAGAAAAGCATTCCTAAAAATTTATAAAAGCTTCCTAGTAAATTTCTGGGGTTTAAAAACATCTTCAGAAAACTCTTTGAGAAGCCCTTGAAAAAAACATTCTTCAAATTTTAGAAGGTCGTTTTCTTGTTTCGTGATTATTAAAGAAGACACTCTTAAATTTATATGAATTTTTTCCAAATATTTATAAATGCTACCTAAATTTAGAGTTTCGAAAGTCTTCTTACTTTTTAGAAATCACTTTTACAAATTTAAGAATGTCCTCTTGTCGCCGCCAATTTCTTCTCGTCGCTTCCAGACTCCGCTTGTAAATCTGTAACCACTCATTTCATAAGTATAACAGATTGGAAACTCTCCGTTGTTGAATCATCTCTTCCAATCCATGCAGATTTTGAATCACTTGTTTTTTCTAAACTGGTTTATGTTAAATGAATGCTATTTTGGTCCTCTCCCAAATGAAGGACTATATTAGAGAAGATTAAGTTTATTAGGACTATTCCATTCAATTTCTCAATCAAAAATGTATACTAAAATAAAATCAATATTACTAATGCAGAATAAATATTACATAACATAAAAAAATTCAAACCCCAACACTATTACAGTGAGGAATATTAGACGACAAAAAAAAAGGAATAGTAAATAAACGGAAATAGGTTGTACTCAAATATTAACTGAAAAAAAATAATAGTGTTAGATAATCTGTCTACTAATAAAAAAAAACTTTAAAAATTGATTAAATTTATAAAAATGAAAAATAAAGAAATGAAGTTTAAAATAAAAGTTAATAAAAATCTATTAATTTTTTTTTGAAAACTTTTACCAGCCAGAAAAAAAAATTAAGTTCATAAGATATGTTAACTATAAATTTAAATATAATCAAAAATTTTAACATGTACATATAAATCTTAATTACTAATTAGTTTTGGCGTTTTTGAAGTCCAGAGTAATAAGAGAGACCCATGTCTATGATATGTCTAACTACTCTATCGTAAAAAAAGTTGTATTAACAAACATGCAAACATTTCCTGTTCAATGAAATAAATGATATTGGTTAAGAATAGTCAGTGATATAAATATTTGGCCCCAAAAAAAATTAATAAATAGGTCCAAAATATATGTTTATGGAAAAACGAAATTTGTATTACATATATATGTATTAACATTATCTTTTAATCTTAATGTAACTATTAATACCATACCTAATATTAAGTGTTGTTAATTTTCTTCATAAGGTAAGAAATACACCAGTCAATCTTTTCTCTCAAAAATATAGAAAGTACAATTTTGCTATATGTAAAAAGATAAAAGAAACAAATTAAATGTATGATAGAATTATTTTGCTTAAATCAATAATAAATTATAAGTATATATAGTCAAAAAATCTATGAGTTTTTTCATGGTAATCTGTATATAAATCATTACTCACTGAAAATTATTGTGAAAAACTCTAATGCTCTTTCTTGAAAAGGATGGAATCCTCTCAAAAGAAGACAAAAATTACCGAAACTTTGCCTGACGACCTTGTGGACCACATCATGTCGGTATATCTCCCTATTCAATATGTTTTACGAAATCGTTCTGTGTCCAAGAAGTTTAAAGACACAGAGATCCGGTCCCGCGACCTTGATTTCAGCAAAATATACTCTGTAAGATGCAGTCAACAAAAGGCTGTACGCATCATTGAAAGCGTTTTTAATGATTACAAAGGCTCGGAGATTAACCGATTTGTGCTACTTCTCAATCACATCGGAGTGGAAGATAAGATACTTTCATAGATCAATACATGTATTGGTAAAAACATTCAAGAACTTGTGTTGGATTTCTCTAAATCAAAAAAAGTTGCCAACATCCCGGTCGATTTCTCGGCCATCGAGACGCTAACAGTTTTGAAGCTAGGATGGTGTAGCTTCAAAATACCAGATAATTCTCTAAAGGGTTTGAAGTTATTGAAGACACTTGCGCTAACTAAGATTAATGAACTGAATAAAGACATGATAGATGCAATATTCAGCAACTGCATCCACCTTGAGACCCTTGAGCTTATCAACTGTCTAATGTATGGGATATTGAGCATCAACGCCCAAAATCATAAGAAGTTTAAGTCGCTAGTTGTGTCTACTATGCCAAATCTTTTTGAAATTATTGTGGATGCACCTACTCTCGAATGCTACAAGTATGATGGATATTGCAATAAGATGGTTTACTTTTCAAGAGTGCACGCACTTAAAGAGGCAAAACTCCATTATAATCGAAGTTTTTCTTGGCGTTATTCCGATCCATCTGACATGCTGCTTGCTAATATGAGGGCCTATATAAGAGTTCGTGTCCTCGCAACGACCAACATCTTTCTTGAGGTAAGTCTTATTTTTTTTATTGTAATTTAGTTTTTTTTTAAAAAAAATTCATGAAATAGTTTTTTTTTTTTGCAAGTTATTTTATAATAGCTGAGTAGAGTTTATGATATCATATGCACGAGTTGAGATCATAAAAAATCTTTATTTAGACATCTTTTAAGGAAGTGATCGCTATTATGGATATGTGCTTTTCTAATTTCTGCAAACTTTTATATGAAGAAGTTGTTTAAATAATCATATGGCCATTCCGAAGCACTCAAGCAATTAATTCTCCTTTTTAATAACATCTAGAATTTTGTTCTGGTTTCTATAAAATGAAGAGAAAAGATAGAGAGAGAGGGAAATTGAATACCACAGG